GGTAGAATCAGGGTTCTCCCCTCCTATTATAACTGTATTTGTAGATGAGGATGGAGAGGAGTATAATGATGAAGATAGTTGGGTAGAATCAGGGTTCTCCCATCCTATTATAATTGTATTTGTAGAAGAGGATGGAAAGGAGTATAATGATGAAGAAAGTGGGGTAGAATCAGGGTTCTCCCCTCCTATTTTCATTGTATTTGTAGATGAGGATGGAGAGGATTATAATGATGAAAATAGTTGGGTAGAATCAGGGTTCTCCCCTCCTATTATAACTGTATTTGTAGATGAGGATGGAGAGGAGTATATTGATGAAGATAGTTGGGTAGAATCAGGGTTCTCCCCTCCTATTATAACTGTATTTGTAGATGAGGATGGAGAGGACTATATAAAAATGAAGATAGTTGGGTAGAATCAGGGTTCTCCCCTCCTTTTATAACTGTATTTGTAGATGAGGATGTAGAGGAGTATAATAATGAAGATAGTTGGGTAGAATCAAGGTTCTCCCCTCCTATTATCACTGTATATGTAGATGAGGATGGAGAGAAGTATAATGATGAAGATAGTTGGGTAGAATCAAGGTTCTCCCCTCCTATTTTAACTGTATTTTTAGATGAGGATGGAGACTGGAGAGGAGTATAATGATGAAGATAGTTAGGTAGAATCAGGGTTCTCCCCTCCTATTATAACTGTATTTGTAGATGAGGATGGAGAGGAGTATAATGATGAAGATAGTGGGGTAGAATCTCGTACTCTGCCACAGCCTATCAAGTGGTGCAAATGCTATCATGCTACTGTGTAACCTGTTAAAATTGTTCAACCTGCCGGAACCATTCCTGTGGGATGGTGTGGATGGTTTCTCCTCTTGACATTATGTTGTTTGTATCTTCCCTATTTACCTCCCAGGTATTCTCTAAGCACTTAACAGGTAGACAGAATTCCTGTCCTGTTATCATGGAACTCTTGGATTGTTGTTTCTCTTCTTGAGTATCAGACACTCTAATAATACATGCTGCTCATTTAGTTCTGTCATGATTCCTATGGGCAATCTTATATGACTTTCCTAGCTTGTTGGGTCATCATTATACCTAACCCGAGGTCACCAGCTATTGTCTAATTAATCTGGATGCAACAGAGCTTGATTGGCCAGTTCATCAACCAGGGCAATGGGCTGGTTGGAATCAAGACTGAAACCTATCAATCAACCCCTGGAATCAAAGATGATCCTTTATGCTCATGGTCTTGTTATGAGAAAAAATGATCCCATCACTGCATCAGAATTGTTTAGCGATGACACTGATGGATGGTCTTAAGGCTCTCTTTTTTCTCTTATTTATCTTTTAGGTGGATTTTTAGACTGTATGCGATATCTGGCATTGAATCTGTCTGGTTATATTCTGTATCTTAGTTCTTTTTGTGAAACACCCTCTAGTACAGGTACAGGGGTGAGAACCCTGCACATATTGACATTGTAGATTGTACATAGTACATTGTACATTGTACATTGTACATTGTACATTGTACACTTTAAAAAAACAAAACTGAACAGTTTTTGTTTTGTTGGATTTCAGATGTGGTCGTCTGGAGATTGGTGAATGGTGATGCACTATGCTATTATGACTTATTAGATATATCAGTTTCGATTTATTGTACATATTTAATATGCATCTGGTTCAGGTTCGACAAAAGGATGTAGAGGCATTTCTTGACGCATCTAGACAAAAATTTGTTGGATACAAACTTCAGGTAATTTGAAAAAAAAATTTTTATCCGAAAACAGTTTAAATCTTTAAAAATCAAGTATGGAAAAGTATGTTTGGATTTGCCCTTTAGCCAAAACCTCCATGGCAAGAATGTGACAGGTTCCTTACAATTTAGGCCCAATTGTCTAAAAACAAATATATATTCACATAGATTACTTTGTAGGATGATGTGAGCTCTTTGGCAGGGCTACCACCTTCAGTACACGAGGGAGTTAAGGTTTTTAAACAGGTAGGTTTTTTTATAAACTTTAAATATTTGATCTTATTTTTTTATAGTTGCATTTTTCTTTACAGTTAACATTTGAAATCGTTGAATATGAGTTAATTGTTTTATTAATAGTAAAGTCGACTTGTTTAAGTATTTCAAATATTAATAAATATTTACCCTGATAATTTGATAATTTCAGTTTTTCCGTTTTTTTTTCAACAATTTTTTTTCTCATTTCTTTATTTCTAGTTTATGTATGAGAGCCTATCAGAGTCTCAGATAAAAAGAGAAGAAGAAATTTTTAAGGTGACAAAATATAATACAAGCATTATCAAATGCGCTATTTTTTTTAAAGAAAAGATTAAATATAAGTTTGTTTGAAATCAAGGTCTTTTGTAAGGTTTAGTCCTGCACAAAAACCGGATTCGTAATCGTATCAACTTTTAAATTTATTAATATTCAACCTAAAGTCAAAGTATCATGCCTTGCAGGCTAAGAATAGAACTAAAAGGATGATGAAAAAACAGGACTAACAGAAAATATTTTAAAGTTTAAACTTTTAATTTGTAAGAATCTCTAAATTGTGATATATGCTTCGGGCACACAGTGTGAGCACAAAAAAGGGGTTTGGACTTAGGCTTATTCTGATCAAAAATGAATAGTTAATAGGTGACACAGGAAGATCACCAAAAAATCAAAAATCAAAAAGTCAAAAGGTGGATAGGTTCTATGTGTGATGTCTAACCTTAGTGGTGAAATCCAAAAAAAATTATGGTTCTAACTTTATTCTCTTAGATGGAAACAGTTTTTGAAAAACCTTGACTTTTCTCACTGTAGAACTAAATGTTTACCGGCCATTTCTTTCATATAGTTAGACCTAATACCCTCGCCTTCTCTCTGAACAATTTCAAGTCGCTTTCTTCTCACAGTCTCTCTGTTCAGACCAACTTGTTTGAGAGGGATATCAAGATAATTAACTATTGATGCAAGAAACATTGTTTGGTCTCTATAGCTTAGCCCACTTCTTACGCTGAGTTATGATCTTTATTATTGAAATATTAATTCTGATAATTTTTAAAAAGTTTTACCGGGAACGGAATTTAATGAATTGGAGAGAGGTCGCTGATCTACCCATCACCGGTTCAAATTCCGAATCACCAAATTCAAGTGGCCGATTCATCAAGATTTGAATTGAGGATTCAGGATTTGAACCGGCGGTAGTTAGTTTAGAGACCTCCCAAATCCGATGTATTGAGTCCCATTCATTAAAAAATATATTTAAAGTATCTCACGTGTTTTTTCCGATAAAGCTTGAAAAAAATCCAATACATTATTGGACGCTCTGTATTCTGTTTGTATGTTTAGAATCCGTTTTCCAAACCGGAAGTAGAAATTGAGCAGACACCAGCGGAAATACTTTATCAGGAAACAGTAGTATATTGTAATTGGCATGTTTGGCGTTCCTTACCACATGTCCCGTTCAGATCTTAGATGTTTTTTGTTGAAGTTTATAATCTACGGTTTTGTACCCATTATATACCAGTCCCCTCTTAAAAGGACAAACTTATTCAGACAAAATACCCCCCCACCCCCCAAGAAAAGGTTTAACCTTTAAGATCTTAAAATATATCACGGTATGAAACTGTTCGTTGTACAAGCAATGTTTCTAAGTTTATATTTACCAAATAACACTGATAAAACGAATGTTGCCTAGTATATGTATGCTAAATAACATTGTTAAAACAATCAATGTCACTAAGTCTAAATTGGCTGAATATCACTGTTAAAACACGCAATGTCACCAAGTCTTTTCTTACTAAATAACACTGTTTAAAAAGACAATATTGTCTAGTCTAGAATTAAATAACACTGTCCAGTCTCAAGTGTCCATGTTCAAACAAGCATTGTTTTTAATAACACTGCTAAGACAAGAAATGTTGCCAAGTCTTTATTAACTTAATAACACTGTAAAAACATGCAATATTGCCAAGTTTTTATTTACTAAACAACACTAAAAACATGCAATATTGCCAAGTCTTTATTAACTAAATAACACTGTAAAAACATGCAATATTGCCAAGTTTTTATTTACTAAATAACACGTTAAAAAGATGCTATGTTGCCAAGTTCATATTCACTAAATAACACTGTTAAAACAGGCAATGTTGCGAAGTCTATATTTACTAAGAAACTTTGTTAAAACAGACAATGATTCCAAGTCTATATATTTACTAAATTACACTTTTAAAACAAGCAACGTTGTTAAGTCTATATATTAACTAAATAACACTGTTAAAACAGGCCATGTTGCCAAGTCTACCCCAGTATATGATTGCTTTACTCAAGATATTGCTAGCCGCAGCTCCTACTAGCAAGGTAACGACATGTTTACTTAGATTTATTAATTTTAAAAAATTACCATTAAAAATAAATTGCTTAAATATTATCATTATTAATTGTTCAGTGATGTGATCTGTATTTTTCTAAAATTATAGTGTTATCTTATTTCACTTTTTTAAATTTTGAGCCCTTTGTTTTTAAAAAAAAGTTACAAACTTGGCTAGTGGGGCTAATAAATCTGTGGGACTAAAAAATCTGTGGAATATTTATGATTTGAAATAGTCCAATTAAAATGAAAACACGCCATTGTGCACTGTACTGATTTTCCGGCTACTGATAATTGCTTAAGAACAGTATCAATTAGATGGCTTAAATTTCAGCTTCCTTTTCCAGTTTTATGTGCACCACTGTATATCATTGAGAGTTTTGATTAGATAATGGTAAAATTCTGGTTCTAGGCTAAGACCGACAGTATAAACATTATGACTGATGTACTTCCTGAAGAGATGCCTATGACAGTCATCCAATCCCTTAAACTGGGCATAGATGTAAACAGGCATAAGGTAAAAGTTATGAAGATATGACTTCTTTTAAGCGAGAGCTATTGAATTGTGATCAGAAGTAAGACTTTTGTGTTGTGAATTTTGGGATCAAGCATTGACCTCCATCTTATGCATTACGGGTGTGAAATACTTGGATATGTTTATTTAATGCATTTTTCACGGATATGAAATATGGCTCTCAAATGTGGTTTAATGATAAGAAATGTGAAAAAGTCACAAGTTAAAGGGAAAATGAAAATGTTATAAAACTTTTCCAATTGGTTATTTTACCGGAATCGGGTTAAATTTCTAAATTCAAATCAATTAACACAAAATTGAAAAATATTTAAATTTGAGCCAGTTAGCTAAAAAAACACATTTTATGAGTACGGAAAGAAATTTATTTGGAGAACAAACGATTTTTGTCTATAACTAGATAAAATTTTAGTATTTTTCAATTCTGTAAATTGTTTTAAATTCCGGTTTATAAGAGGTTGATTTATCCCCCTTAACATTACTAATATGATGTGTGGGGGGAGGGGGGTAATAAAAAAGTCCAAACAACGCTATTCGCTCTAGAATTTATATCTTGGTTGTCAGGAGATAATTGTGAAAGCTGTTTCTGGAATTCTTCTTCTTCTTCTTAAACATTTCAAGATAAACCACACGTACCAGTTCGAGTTCATGTCCCAGCACCTGGTGTTCGCCAACTGTATCCCCCTGGTCCTTAAGTTCTTCAATCAGAACATCACGGCCTATATACAGTCCAAGAACAACATTGCTCTTCTAGATTTTCCTTCATGTGTAATAGGTAAATATTATTTACTAGGAACTCATACTTTAAAAGATCTTAGCTTCTTTATGTAAATTTTGCAAGCCATGCTTTTTATTTTATTTAAACAATTAATGTTAAATGTTTTTCATAAAATTCGAATAAAATTTACTTTAACAAACAAGTTCACAAGTGGTTTTTTCACATGTTTTCTCAATATTTTTCTGAACATTTATTAACACATAAAAAAAGGTATCCTTTTAAAAAATTATACCACTTGTGTTAATCTATTTATCTGTCTTTTTATATTTTTATCCAGGGGAGCAACCTGAGTTGACCGCAGAAACTCTTGAAGTAGGAGATACATCTCTTTATTGCTGGAGGAATATGTTTTCTTGTATCAATCTTCTTAGGTATACTCATTTATTTATTCATTCATATATTCATCCTTTCTATATTCATTCATCCTTCCTTAATCTTCCACGCAACTTTTCCTTCCTCTTTTATCCTTTTATTCAACTCATTCATCCGTTAGGAAATCCTATTATTGATCATCTTACTGAACTTTTCAGCCACTCTTTTGTTCATTTTTTTGATTATTATTTCATTCATTCTTTCATTCATTCTTTCATTCATCCTTTTGTTTATCATTTCATTCATTCTTTCCTTCATTCTTTTGTTTATCTTTTCATTCATTCTTTTATTCATTCATTCTTTTGTTTATCATTTCATTCATTCTTTTATTCATTTTTTTATTTATCTTTTCATTCATTCTTTCATTCATCCATTCTTGTGTTTATCATTTCATTAATTCTTTCATTCATTTTTTCATTCATTCTTTTGTTTATCTTTTCATTTATCTTTTAATTCATTTTTTCATTCATCATTTCGAAAGTTGTCATGTGGTAGTAGGACATCCCTAAAAGTCTGGTTTGATTTGATTTGTCTATCATTTCATTCATTCTTTCATTCCTTCTTTTATTAATTCTTTTGTTTATCTTTTCATTCATCCTTTCATTCATCCTTTCTTGTGTTTATCATTTCATTCATTCTTTCATTCATTCTTTTGTTTATCATTTCATTCATCCTTTTGTTTTTCTTTTCATTTATCTTTTAATTCATTTTTTCATTCAATCGTTCTTTCAATAATTTTATTTGATATTTATAATGCTTACGTCTTACATTCTTTCTTTCATCCATCAATTTTTTATTCATCTAGTTTTTTAGTTTTTTTTTTCATCCAATTAACGATTTGTGTGTATTCAGGGTTCTAAATAAACTGACTAAATGGAAGCACTCCAGGATTATGGTAAGTACTCAATCTATACGCTTATCAAAACCCTTTCTCATTTATTTCCAACAAGAGTAAAATTAGGTAGAGGAGAAGAAAAATATTTAACATTCGGATAAACAAGATTTATAGTCAACATACAACAAATCTTTGGAGGGCCTGTGCTTCACTGTTTACAAAATGTTGTTATAAAAAACGTGTATTATTAGTGAGCTGTCCTAACACATCATGGTAACACGTAAACAAACACTCTTATCATATCCCTAAGTCTCGTTTGTCTTGTTCATTTCTAACGTTTAATGGACAAAGGTATATATATAATGTTAAGTGCGTACTGTTAATGGACAAAGGTATATATATAATGTTAAGTGCGTACTGTTAATGATTTATGAATGGAAGGATTTTACGTTTTGGAATAATAAATAAGACTAGCTGAATTCCCGGCGTTGCCCTTGGAATTTTGATAACATGTAAGGAAAAAATCGGTTTTCCTGAAACAACTAATTTTGTCCAGCTGTTTTTCCAGCTATATTTAACGTATGTATATGAGAGAATATTCATCCCTATTTACTCTCGTTTCCTAAAATGGACTTAAAAACTATTTTGCAACAATTCTTGAAGTTCTTTCCATACTCCGCACAAATATCTAGACTTTGCCGTGCAACTTGAGGGTTTTGTCGGAATTTCGATTTCTTTATGAAATAACTTTTGAGAATTCATAAAAGCACTGCTTTACTGTCTTAACATTTCAACTAATTATACTTCTTGCCTTTTCATTCAACCTTCATAATTAAAAAAAAAAATTTTTACATTCTCTTCATTTCAACTATAATTTATTCCCATAGCTGGCATTTCTTGTTCTTCTATCATTATAACAATTTTTTGGCCTTATGTTTAATGTTTATATCCCATATTTAGAAAAACATTATCATCTGTTCAGGTTTATAAAATTCTTAATTTCAATCATTCCTTTTTGAGTTCTTTAATTCGAGTCACATCAATCAAAAACTAGGAAGGATTCTGTTGAAGGTTTTTATTTTGTAATTTTGCTTGTCCACCATCTATTTCTCTACATATTCTTCTAATCAACCCCAACATGTTAGTAATGTATTGTCTTAATCTTTGAAAATAAGAAATATATTTTAAATTTTTTATTTTATTTTTGGACATTTTAATATGTCTTTAGACAGTAAACACATCTGACCCGTTGAATAAACACAATTAGTCTTAACAAGAAGATATTAGATAATATTGTCTGTTTCCGCTCTACGTCCGGGGCCTGGACACACCTCGGGGACTTCATCTTCGTCCTGATGGATAGTTTGGATATCCACCGTCATTATCAGTTGATGGATATCCTGGATATCTACCTCTCCCTCCTTTAAAAAGAAATAATTACTATATTTAAAAAAAAATTTATTGTGCACCAACTTTTCTAGGTGCACCAATTTTTGTTAAGATCTTCTTAAAAATTCATTTAAAAAAAAATTAGTTTCAAAGTACGCTAAAAATGTTGGGGGAAAGTAAAAATACTTTTGTCACCTGAATTTTGTTGTCTCTGCTGCTCATAGGGCCGCTGAGATTGCTGTCCATACTGTTGTTGTTGCTGAGGCTGCTTGCTTTTATCTTGTGCTAACTGATCAGGAAGCAGCTCACATAGTACTGCTGCTCCTTTCCTACCTCCTCCAGGAAGTTTAGCAATATCTCCATCAATATAGAATCCATAGTGTCTACTGTTGTCAGCATAAGTTGCTTCTTGGGTTAGAAGTCTCCTAAAAAAGAACTATATGTAAGGCCGTTCATGGGTTTAAATGGACTATAAGCATAATTTCATGCATAGATGGCAATGTCAATTTACATCAGTACCCTTGAAAACTTTTTCTGATCAAGTATGAATCAGATATCAATGTTTTCGTTTCTCAAAACTGTTTATTTTTGTTTGCGATTTCTCTGCAAAGATGACTTGCGAATTTTTTTCGAGTCATTAAAACGCAGTATCTTCCATATTTTTCCCCAGAAAAAGGTTTCAAGGGTGCTGTTGTAAATCGAGCATTGACATCTTTGTATGGAGGGTCACTTGAAAATACGCTTACAGTCCTTTTAATCTGATAAAGTTGTAAATGATTATTAACCTGGATTCCCAAACGAAAAGTCTGGATGAAGCTGGATAGTATACTATCCTCTGTCCATCTGCCCATACTAGCCCACTGCCTTGCTCATATTGTAATCCAAGCCAAACTCTTCTAGAGCTACGGTCCCATTGCTGAAATAGCAAACTGTTACAATTCTTACAATTGCTTTGTATAATATTCAGTTTTAACATAAAAATATTAGCAAATAAAATTGTTTCTTTCATGTGAACTTTTAGAAAGTTTTCGTGCTGTCTTTCAACAGATATGGGATTATAAAATTGTTCAAATTGTAAAGCAATTACCTCAAAGACTTCAAAATCAGCCTCATCTAGATATTTTTTAACAATCTTTATTGTTTCTGGATCAGAGAGAACTGGAAGTCGTGCTCCTAGCTCCTGACATTTCTGTGTTGCATTCTCCCATTCTACATACTCCTCATCAAACATCCTTTAAATAAGATTATAATTTAATAAAGAAGAAGTCTTCAACGATCTAAACACTTCACTGCCAAAAATCACATTTTATATCTTCATAAATAAAAAAATTAATCTTGTAAAAACTTGATATCTATCTATAATACATAAAATATCTTAACATCCTGGTAACCGTGCTTTGTCTGGAAACAGTTTGTAAGTTCAGAACATTTCCCCCATAAAAATTTTAAACATACATGTCAAGAATGTTAATGAATTATGACCGGCGAGATTACTTCTTTATTTATATATATATATAGACCTTTATATATAAATTTAAAAACGTTTACCTATATCCTCTCTTGTTCTCCTCAGTATTGAATCCCTCTGGAATACAAACATCTGTTCCATTCCCATGAAAATTCTCTTTGCACATGCACATTGGTTTATGGTCTTCTGTTATACACTCAGAGAATGGAACATCACATCTACAAACAAGAAGTTTAAATTTCTTTTAATGATTTAAAAGATGGAAGTTATTAAACTGATTTTTATCTTATTACCTGATGATTTCTGGTCTTTCACAGGGATTCTGACATTTTGACATACCATCAGGTTGTTTTAAGCATTGCTTGTTATCATCACACTGGGCTTCATCCTCACAGCTTATAACACCCTTCTTCACTAAAACCAATGTGATTTTATCTTCAAGTGTGCCACCGCCTCCTTCAGGGCCCATTATTGCAGTCATCAATTCGTTTACTCGGTTTTCAAGTCCTGTCATACATTCCGCAACCTTCTCATCCATTCCCTCCTTGTCACATGTGGCCCCAACTGCAGTTGCCAACGCGTCAGCTCCTGATTGTTCTTCTTCTCCAGAGCCTTCGCCAGATCCCTCAGCTTTGGGTTTGCATTTTTTCTTCTCCCCTCCTAGTGCAAGGATGTCATCAATGTCATCCCCTTCTGCCTCAGCATCGGTTTCTTCTATCTCACAATTCTCTTCGCCTTCTGCTTCTGTACCTTCATCTGCTGTTGCATCATCCTCAGGAGCACCTTCTTCCCCTTCACCTCCTTCTTCTCCTCCTTCCTCTCCTCCCTCTTCGCCACCTTCTTCCTCTCCGCCCTCTTCTCCACCCTCTTCTCCACCCTCTTCTACACCTTCTTCTCCCCCAGCTTCAGCTTCTCCGCCTTCTTCTCCCCCCTCTTCTCCCCCCTCTTCTCCTCCTTCTTCTGGAGGAGCTTCTTCATCTTGTGCAGTGACATGAAGCACCAGGGCTAAGCAGAGGAATATCCAGTATACTCCTCGCATGTTGAGAGTAAACTGAGCTCAAGGGGATGAAACAACTTAAATTAAATGTAATTTTGCTGATTCAATACTTGCAGTGTAGTGCACCCTCATATTGTAGACAGTTGCAAACCTAATCAATTCAGGCCTGACTTTAAGGAGGCTTTTGACCTATTTTCTAAATAATACAAAATAGACTCAAGTTTAACTTTATTATTTATTGTTACTTTTGTTTCACATTTCTACCTCATATTGATAAATTCTTGAACCCCAGATTATGATAATTAGGTCAATGTTGATGGCAAAGCCTTGAAATAGGGGAATTTGTATTAAAATATTTGACCTATCAAAATCTTAATCCCCCCTCACTTTCTATAGGTTTTTTTTGGGGGGGGGGGGGATTAGATTTTAATTCTTTACTCGAATTATTTAAATTTTTTAATCAACTTCTTCATTATTTTTGTTCAGATGTTAGTTGTCTTCAAGTCTGCTCCCATTCTGAAGAGGACTTTAAAGGTGAAAAAGACTATTATCATTGCTTCATTATTCATGTTTATCTGTTGTTTTCTACGCTTTAAATGACTCTTTTCAATTTTCATTAACGTAAAATTTCACCTTTGATCCCACTAGAATTGAATTCAAATAGTATGTGTTAACTTATATAAGTTCATTTTGTATGTGTAAAACAAGAAGGCAAAGTACACTGCAACCAGCTAAATACATTAAAGCTGGGGTGTTAAATATTTAGATATTATATCTCATTCTTGATTTATTAATTTCACTTTGGGTTTAGATATGGATAGTAGGGTGTCCCACTCCTTAACATTCTGTTTTGAATAAATTTGCACAAACCGATTTTCTTTGATGTATAAAACATACACCACACTTTCAGTCCCTTTGATGTACAAAACATACACCACACTTGCAGTCCCTTTGATGTATAAAACAAACACAACACTTGCAGTCCCTTTGATGTACAAAACAAACACAACACTTGCAGTCCCTTTGATGTATAAAACAAACATAACACTTGCAGTCCCTTTGATGTATAAAAAATACACCACACTTGAAGTCTCGTTAATGTACAAAAAATACACCACACTTGCAGTCCATTTGATGTACAAAAAATACACCACACTTGCAGTCCCTTTGATGTATAAAACAAACACCACACTTGCAGTCCCTTTGATGTACAAAACAAACACGACACTTGCAGTCCCTTTGATGTACAAAACAAACACCACACTTGCAGTCCCTTTGATGTACAAAACATACACCACATTTGCAGTCCCTTTGATGTATAAAACAAACACCACACTTTCAGTCCCTTTGATGTACAAAAAATACACCACACTTGCAGTCCCTTTGATGTATAAAACAAACACCACACTTGCAGTCCCTTTGATGCACAAAAAACACCACACTTGCAGTCCCTTTGATGTACAAAACATACACCACACTTACAGTCCCTTTGATGTACAACAAATAAACCACACATGCAGTCCCTTTGATGTATAAAACAAACACCACACTTGCAGTCCCTTTGATGTACAAAACAAACACCACACTTGCAGTCCCTTTGATGTACAAAACAAACACCACACTTGCAGTCCCTTTGATGTACAAAACAAACACCACACTTGCAGTCCCTTTGATGTACAAAACAAACACCACACTTGCAGTCCCTTTGATGTACAAAACAAACACCACACTTGCAGTCAACATTTTAGAATACCCATTATATTTGCAACAACTGAATGGTGTCTGCCAAACTCTTATTTGGTATTGTGGTAAATAGAATATTATTGACCACTACACTCTTCAACCACTGTATTTGTAATGTGTATGTACGTTGCGCAAATTATTTCTGTATAGTTGTATAGTTGTCTGTATGTCTACTTTTGTGTACAATATACATAATACAATACATGTCTACTTTTGTGTACAATATACATAATACAATACATGTCTACTTTTGTGTACAATATACATAATACAATAAATGTCTACTTTTGTGTATGATATACAAAATTCAATACATGTCTACTTTTGTATACAATATACATAATACAATACATGTCTACTCTTGTATACAATATACATAATACAATACATGTTAACTTTATGTACAATTTATGTTTTAGGTGCGACACGCTATGCTACAGCTATATGTACTAAAACTATTGAAAATTCAAACTAAATATCTTGGAAGGAACGGGACATTCTTTAAACTTGTTTAATATAGGTTTTAATAAATTAAGTGAAGCGCAGGACCTATTTTATAATTTAGTGTAGCAGACCCAGTTTAGAATATGGTGTAGCAGACCCAGTTTAGAATATAGTGAATCAGATCTAGTTTAGAAGATAGTGTAGCAGACCCAGTTTAGAATTTAGTGAATCAGATCTAGTTTAGAATATAGTGTAGCAGACCCAGTTTAGAATTTAGTGTAGCAGACCCAGTTTAGAATTTAGTGTAGCAGACATGGTTTAGAATACGATGGAGTAGACACAGTTTAGAATATAGTGTAGCAGACCCAGTTTATAATATGGTGTAGCAGACCCAGTTTATAATATGGTGTAGCAGACCCAGTTTAGAATATGGTGTAGCAGGCCCAGTTTAGAATTTAGTGTAGCAGACCCAGTTTAGAATTTAGTGTAGCAGACCCAGTTTAGAATTTAGTGTAGCAGACCCAGTTTAGAATTTAGTGTAGCAGACCCAGATTAGAATTTAAGTGTAGCTAACCCAGTTTAGAATACAGTGTAGCAGACCCAGTGAAGAATTTAGTGTAGCAGACCCAGTTTAGAATTTAGTGTAGCAGACACAGTTAAGAATTTGGTGCAGCAGACCCAGTTTAGAATTTAGTGTAGCAGACCCAGCTTAGAATTTAGTGTAGCAGACCCAGTTTAGAATTTAGTGTAGCAGGTCCAGTTTAGAATGTCCTGGAACCTCTAGGCAATGGAGGAAAACAAATATGAAAACGATGAGCGCTATTTATACAAAAGTTAGACACAGGTAAAAAAATACTCATTTACTTCCATCCGCTCCTGAATATGGGGGGGGATTTCTGGGGCTATAGGAACAGGATAAGTCAGAAACTAAAAAGTTTACCTCTTACTTACGTAACCTTTTTCTATACTTCTTTATTTCTCTTAAAATATTACATTTATGAGTGAAAAAAGGTTGAAAATTGCAATATTAGTTTGTTGATTTATACGGTGAGATTCATAAATCTGTTCAATTGGAAGACGACTATTAGACTCAAGTTATGATTTAATATTGTCCAATGAACATAAACACATCAACTGTACTTAGACCCATATTGATTATTAAGTTGATAGCCAAGATTTTATTCTACGACAAGAGTCTATATAATACGCATACGATTTCTTTAATGTCGTCCTTTTATTTCACACTTGTATGGGTCCCACTGTCTACTATATATTAAATGTACTTTGGAAAAGAGTTTTGAATTAATTTTGTAGAAATAGAAAAGTGAATTATTTTCTAGAAATAGAAAAGTGAATTATTTTGTAGAAATAGAAAAGTGAATTATTTTGTAGAAATAGAAAAGTGAATTATTTTGTAGAAATAGAAAAGTGAATTATTTTCTAGAAATAGAAAAGTGAATTATTTTCTAAAAATAGAAAAGTGAATTATTTTGTAGAAATAGAAAAGTGAATTATTTTTCAGTAACCGTAAACATCCTAAGCTGAAAACTTTAGAATCGTGGATAATGAGATTAATGCTTGATCTCCTCTTTTGGTTAATCTCCAGATTATTATAATCTTTATCCACTAAAAGTGCCTTAAATTCTACCTATCAGAATGTACCAAAAGAGAGTATTAAGAAAATTATAAGTGGATGTTCAGATTAAGCGGGATTAGGTATCCATTTCTAAAGTTTTCAGCTCTGATTTAATCGTCTGATCGGGATTAGGTATCCATTTCTAAAGTTTTCAGCTCTGATTTAATCGTCTGAACAAGAAATTATATTTTAAAATTTCTTTAGGTTAAATGACGACTGGGCTTACGGGAATGATGTTGACAGTAGACCTTGGGATTTCCAGGCAGAAGAATGCATTCTCAGGTATTTCGGGACTAAATCATGGACATTGCGCATATTTCGATTACACTTCTTTTAACCCTAAATTTACTATTATTAAAAGAAATAGCGAAGGCGGCTCTCATTTGGTTATGACTTAATATAAACACTAATTACATTAACTACATTTATTCTGTGAAAATTGGATTTATTTCAAGCATTGTGCATTATTATTTATATATATGTATAAATGCTAATTTCACTATTTTACAAAAGAAAATTGTCTTACTTTTTTAACTTAATAATCTTGATCTTTAAACCTTTTGTTTTTGTCCCCCCCCTGAACAGCTTTATATCTTATTTGACATATAGTGCAAGTACGCTAATAGAAATAAATAGCCGATTTTTGGTAAAATTATATGTGTCAATTTGTTTAAGTTGATTGAGTAAAATTATATATAGTTTTCCTCGTTTGGTAATCATGGACATGGGGAATGGAGATCAAGTTTCTAGACGGGGATTTTTATGTTCCCAAGATTCTAGGGGGGGGGGGGTAATTACCCCCAAGATTTTCGGGGGGTGGTAATTACCCCTATTTAAGCCTCTGGTAATGGGTATCCTTTAAACCTGAGTTAGGAACCTGGAACAAATTGGAATAAATTGTGAATCAGATAAAACAGTCTGTAAAAGGAGGGTCACTAAACTGTTCCTAAAGGAATACTGATCTGTTTTTTAAATAGGTCCAACGTTGACCGGTTTAATCAGCGGCGCTATGACAAGGGCGGAGAGCGGCGTGAGTCGGATGGAGATTTTACGCCTGTAGATAACTGTGTTAACAGTGTACTAGGACAGGAAGTGGATCTTACTGACGAGTTTAAGGTGACGCAGAATTCGGAACTTATGTGTTAAGTATCGTTAATCTTGAGCGCTTGATGTCGATATTCAATGTGGGCTCAAAATGGTATGGTAAATCTTAAATACCACTTGGTTTTGTTGATATTAAATACAACGAAAAACTCATAATATCACAATTAGAAATGCAGTTCAGTTCAGAATATAACCAAGATGTAAACTTAAAATTATCAAGAGTTGGTTCTAGTAACGATAGTTAATTATCAGTTTAACATTTAATTTTCCAACTAAAGTCCATTATTGAGAGAATGGTTCTCTTGCTTGCTTGCTTATCTATAAATATAAAGCTGTAATCTCTGTTTGTTTGTCCGATCATAACCCAGGAACCCCTGAGGAACCCCTAGCCCGATTTGCTTCAAATTTTGACCGGGGAACTTGGGAGACCCACGGGAATGTTCTTAGCTTGGTTTTGAGATTCTATGTTGATAGCGAAAATATAGTTTCCCAGTGAAATCTTTCAAGTGCGGGTAAACGGCGGGACTAACTATGAGTAATCTGGGCAACTCTGGGTTCCCAAGCTGGTTATTTATAAATAAAGATAAATATTGATGAATACTGATGTTCAGGCGAACTATGAGAGATGGTTGCACAAGGAGGTCTACAACTCAGAGATAGACTGGGACGAGTTGTTAATATATACAGGCATATAGACAACACGCTGTGACGTCATCGGGAACTAAAAACTAGAAGTTATGCTGTACATACGTTTATGTACAGTGTGAACTGTGTACACTGTACTCAATAATGATGTCATTTTGTATGTAATGTATCCTTTAGTTTTGTACTAGATTGTAATACCAAATATGTAGACGTATCTATTTTTTAAGGGTTAACATTTTTTGCAACAGACATATTTTCACCTTGTTCCTCTTTCCATTCCTATTTGTTACTTTTATATTTGATTTTTTTTAGTTTACTCTCGATGAAAAACTTCTATTATTTGGCCTTTCCTTGCCCTCCGCAATTTTTTTCAACTTTTGTTGCTACAGCTTCAATTACAAAAATGATTCAGACCTAATATATATGTCAATAAATGTTACCCTTACTATAATTGTAAATATTAACATTGGACAGTTGGATTTTTATTCATTGATTTCAACTCATTTCAATAATCTTTTGACACTCATAAAAATTCGTATTTGTGCAAGTATTATATGTAAAATATATAACATTACATGTCTTCAGATGATTCAAAATGTATCACAATGTACGGCTCAGAACTTACCTAGAAATGGGTCCAAAAATGCGACTCAAACTGGGTCTCAAATTATGACTCAGGATGCGATAGCTAACCTATGTTTGACCAGGTACCATGAAGGGACGTATTTAGGAATTTTTTTTCGAGGGTGGCTAAAATTTTTCCTCGGGGCTCAAGAACTCCCTGAAAACCATAGATTTCACTGACTTAGGGGGGCCCCCCCCGGGCTGAGCCAATTCTAAATTCAAAAGGAAATTCTTAAAAAAGACGTTTTTCAGTTAATTCATTTGTCCAATAAAATATTAAATTTTGCCTCTGAATAGAAATTGAAATCTTGCCTTTCCCAATTTTTTGTTAGGCTACAGACTGACAGTGTTTTGAAATGTAAGAAATGTACGATAAAATTAAATTAAATTTATTTAATTTTTATCTAGATGATAAAACAAGACATTCATATATATGTTCTCTATAGCCGGTCAAACGGCTGGACCAATTGGGCTTAAATTTTTTGTGGACACTCTTTTTTTCCGCGGGCAGCGCTGGGCCCTTCAGCTTGTTTTTGATATTATTTGAACATTTGTGTGTATGTGTGTGTACAACTATTGTGAAGTGTGTATATTGTGTTTAATCAGAAATTAATAATATTAAAACATATATTATAAAAAACATCATGGAAATTTAATCACTAATTTATAAATTCGATTTGATAAAATTTTCAGAATAAAGATGGACTCTAAATTTATATTAAAAGCGGCTTAATTAATTATTGATTAGTTATTTTTTAGATTATTGATTATTAGATAATTAGATTTGAAAGTATAAATTGGTAATTTTTAAATATGCACACTGCACACTAAAATTAAAACAACTTATATACAGAACAGTCCGAGAATTATGGAGAAATCCTTTGCTGCTTTTCTATTACAGTTTTTCTGTGAAAACAATTTGCGAATTTTTATCCCTGAGACAAAGTATGAAATTGACATATTTTTTTTCGTAGAAAATTTCAAAATCTTTTCATTCTTACTCAATACTCAATGTTATTTAAATAAAAGTTTGAAGAGTACTTGAATGAATCAGACTAGTTCCTGTGTTAAAGGTCCCTTGAAATTACGACAACAATGCTAATTATGTTCAGGTTTGAGAGGCTGCCCAAGCAGGGTAAACCTGGGTCCGGTCAGTGGACAGTTCTAGGAACAAAAGTAATTGATTAATTGATTAATTTTCAAAATTTTTATTTTTGATCAGAAACAATTTTAATTTAACCTTAAATGCAGTTTTTCTGATCTGGATTAGGCCAACGGATATTTATCCGGATTCGTTTATGTATAGTGTATGCTTTCTTCAGATCTGGGATGTACATTGTACACTTTTTCATATTTGGTATTTTTATCCTTTCTCGTAGAGATTGATTAAAGAATTTTATGTTGAAGAAAAATGAGCACAACCATAAATGAAAATAAGTATTAAATATAAACTAGACCATTTTACATTGTAAAATTTTTCGGATTTTGATATTCTTTTCCTAAGAGATTGATAAAAGAATATTGGTCAATTTTATTTTAAAAAAACTAAAAGAAAAGAGAAAAATGTTAAACATGTTCTTTAAAAAATTTCCATTTTACATTGTACAATTTTTCTGATTTTGATATCCTTTTCCTTAGAGATTGATAAAAGAATATTGGTGATAGGTCAATTTTATTTTTAAAAAACGAGAAGAAAAGAAAAAAGATATTAAATATGAACTAGAAAGTTTAACATTTTCTTTTACTTGCTTGTTCTCCAGCTGGTGTTGTTGTGGAGCATGAAGGAGGTCTAGAACTTATTTCTCTTGCTACAGGTAACTTGTTTATGTAAATAATGTTGCACTTTTTTACCTTTTTTTTAATACCAATTGTTATCTAACAAAAACGGGACACAAAAAGTTTTTTTTCATCCACATTGAAGTAAAATCAAAAGTAAATTCAAAATTTATTGAAATATTTAGTCACAAAGAGAAGCTTTTTAAACCATTATTCACCAGAATTTCTTAACAAGTGGTTAGTTAATAGTTTATCGAAGAAAAATAACAGATTTGACTTTTTTAATGATACTCGTGACTAGCACAGCCATATAATCAATAATTTGCATGCCAAAATAGTCTTAGTGATTTTTGTAATAAAATAATCACAAGTAAAATCAACCTGATGTGAATCCATACTTGGCTTAGTTATATAAACTACAATTTACTGGATTAAACTTGACATAACCAATATGTATTGAATTGAAAATAAATATTAAGAACTTTCAACTTGCTAGGAGAGTTTCCTTCATTTAACTTTTGCCTAAATCTTAGGCAAATCATTAATGACGGTAATTCTAAAGCGAGGCATGGTTCAAATTTGGTGGTGTGGCTGGGAACTTAATTTACAACATCAAGTGATAATTTAAAGTTTACTTTTACAAGAAGTCCAGGCTGAAAAGACCATGACATGAAATGGACTTGATCATCCAATCCACTAATGCCATCCCTACCCTATGTGATTTGATTTGATTTAATGTAAACTTTCTAATTTTATATCTTGCAATTTTTTTATATAATAATGATTTTTTATTTCTTTTTCTTAAGGAACTAAATGTTTGAGTGGAGTGGAAAGATTAGGTTCTGTGAAGGGAACCCAGCTCTCCGACTCCCATGCTGAGGTTCTAGCCCGGAGAGGGTTCCTTTACTGGTTCCTACGCCAGGCGGAGCTAGCTTTTCAGGTAAGGAAAATATGTCCTAGACTTGATAAACAAAAACAAAAAGTAGTGAATTTTCCCATTATTTTCCATAGCTAAAAGCTTTGATCATTCTGGTACTCAAGACCTGAGAAAGACTCTGATCACAGTTGTCCTGAGTTAACCCCCAAGTAAAAAAAAATAGTTACAGCATTAAGTATAACACCGCATTATTTTTATGAAGAAAAAAAGATACTGAAAATTTTTTTTTAAATACACGGGGAGCCTGAAAGGTTTTGCCACTTTTTGTGAAATGTTTGAGAAAAGACAAAGAAATATTCGGAATAAGCCTCTTTTTGAACTATTAAATATGGCAAATTGGAAAAGTATTGTATATTGTTGTGCAAATAAAGGAAAAAATTTACTACTGCACCCCAAGGATATCTTAAATAGTTCAATTTTAAGATAATGCAAGGGAGGAGTAGGTTATTTTAAACGAGGGTCAGTCAGTTCCTTAAAAAAAAGACAAAATCTTAGCAAAATACAATTGTAGATATGCGTGAACAATTTCCTATTTGAAACATGTTTTACGTTTGCTGACGTATTCCCATATTTCCCTAAATTCATAACTTGGACGTTAAAGACGATTTGTGTAAAGATGAAATAGACCTTTAAAATTTCTCTGTTGTTAAGCGTAAACTGTTGTCTGATTACTTAAAAATTTTAATAGTTGTAGATATTTGAAAAATGTGACCTCATTCCCAAAATCAGGACTACAGCCCATTATTACTTCGCTTGTGAAATTATAGATGTAATCTGTTTAAAAACCTAAGTGTAATAAAAAGGAATATGGTATTTACATTTTACTTGGTCTGACTCTGATATAAAATTATCTCTCTGGCATTTTCCAAAATGTATATTATATCACTTCAAAAGCTTTCCGTAAGTTAAATTTTCCAAAAAAATTAATCTATAATAAATTTACATCGATTTTACAATAATTTGCCATATTCAACAGCACAAAGGGGCTTATTCAATATAATTCCTTGTCTTTTCTCAAATATTTTACAGAAAGTGTCATAACTTGTTAGGCTCCCCGTGCATTTTTTTTTATTTTCAGAACAAAATTTTCTTATTTTTGAAAAATGTAATGTTACATACTTTATGCTGTAACTATTTTCTTTCTTTGGGTTAACTCAGGACAGCTGTGTGATGAGTTGCTAATTATATGAAAACAATTCCTTCAATGGAACAAATATAAATATTAAATACATTAAGAACATGAAATACAATAAAAATAAAGACATCCCTGGTTTCAGAATTCATCTCAGTTCCTTGTAAACTCTGGAACTGGAACAGTTCATTGGAAACCTGGTGTCAAGTTTCATCTTTACTCAAGCCATCCGCCTTGTGGGGACGCAACAATATTTATCTTTGAAAAGGAGGAATCATGTCTCGCCAAGGATAATTTATGTACCGCCAAGAAGGATTCATGTGCCGGCAAGGAGGATACAAGTACCGGCAAGGAGGATTCATTTATTGGCAAGAAGGATTCATGTACCGGCAAGGATATTTCATGTACGACCAAGAAGGATTCAAGTACCAGCCAGGAGGATTCATGTACTGGCAAGAAGGTTTTATGTACCTGCAAGGAGAATTTTTGTACAGGCAAGAAAGACTCGTGTAGCGGCAAGGAAGATTCAAATGCAATAGAATCACAATTAACATCTTTGAATTCTTTCAAAACTACTAATTCATCCCTATGTTCTGAATTATCTCCTACAAGCAGCAGTTCAACAAATGCCTCTAAAGCTGGCTCGGATCCCAAAAGTATCCCACCGGGTCAAGAAGCAACCAAACTGAATACAAGCAAAGATCAAGAATCTCATCAAAATATGAATAAAATTTCATCGCCCTCTCTTCAACAAACAAACTTGGAAAAGGTTAGTTAAGAAAAAACATTAATTATCCCAAACTAAATTTTTGTCGCTTTCGGGCAAATAGAGTTAGGGATCAAATATTATTTTATTATCGAATATTATTTTATTTTTAACTTACAAAGTTGTATAAATATAAATGTAATCTTTAAAAATTAAGTGATTTTGGATAAAAATGCACGTGGCTATGTTAGGACTGCTTTGTTTCCCCATCCTATTAGCTATTTCTCATTCCAGCAGTCAGAAATTCTACGTAGTAATTTAAGAACAAATTTGCAGGATATATCTGAAGATCTGGATGAGCCGGTCCAGAAGAAACTAAAGCTTGACACAAACCGAACCGGAGCTAAGTGTGTTAAAGGGGAGATTGAGGACCCCTTGGGTTCCGGGACGGAATATCATAATATCGGAGTTCTCCGACGAAAACCAGGACGCGGAGACCCAACCCTGTCCCTCTCCTGTAGTGATAAACTTCTTAAGTGGAACGTAATCGGGTTTCAGGTTTCAGCATTTTTTTAAATCCTAGGATTCATTTTTGGTATAGATTTTAAAACATGCTTCTAAATCTCTAAACCATTGTGAAGGTCATATTTCTTTAGCTGAACACATAAAGTATTCAACTAATTCCCCAGTAAATCTATCAGATCTAGTATTAATAACAAAACTGGCCTATACCCATGCATAAAGTATCTGAAAGTTAAGGAACCAATTGGACGGCCTTTCAATTGATTTTGAATCGAAATAAAACAAATGTAGGATTAAATATCTTAACATATACACCCAGCAATATAGTACAATCCATAGTGATGATCCCATCCCAGGCCTCCAGGACTACCAGTAATGAAGAATAATAATCTGCTTCTCCTAGAGTGTGGGAAAGATGCAAAAAAAAAATATATTATTTCAGTTTTACTACATTTACTTATTTAGGGTTCCCTGGTATCCCAATTTCTTAAAATCCCAGTCTACTTTTCTACCATAAGCATAGGACCGTCAGGGTTCAACCTACCCGCATTACAGAGAGCTTTGTTCTCCAGATACCCAGATACCGCATCCAAACCAGTTCTTCTCCAACCTACTCTCAAGTTTAGGTAAAATTATCTTTTCTAAAAGAGTTTATGAATTTAGAGGATTTTATCAAGTCTTCATAATCCGTATTCCGCTCTTAGTGATTTTTTTTATTAATCCTTGATTGAAGCAAAAATAATAATATCTTTATAGTTTTTTAAAAAAGTCTTCAAAATATTCAACTTTTTTTAAATGGTTTTTAAAACATGAACAACACTTTCCTCTCTCTTATTTGCTAAACGGAACAGATGAAAAATCTTCATTCTAAAAGATTTTTATGTGAATTAAATAAAACCTTTAGATTTGCTCAATGTGATGATCTGAAACCAAGTTCTGATAGTATCCTTCATGTGCCCGGGAACTCAGGGTTTACAGAGGTTTATGTTGCAGGCAGATAGTACATTTAACCTTAATTTCCTTCCCGTCTTTTAATGATAGAAAAACAAACATTTTATTTGTAAAATCGAACGAGCAGTTGAAAACATTTCAAAATTACAAACATTTTGTACCAAATTATGAACAGGATGTTAAGGATATCTCACAATTGGTTTCTCTCTATCTAACATTCTGAATGCCATTTAGATCAAAATGTGAATCATTTGCAAAATTAGTTTTTGATTTGTAATCAGGTTCTCTGGGTGTAAATACATGTTTCAGAGGAAATTATAAAAGATAAAGTATCATCCTAAGTGTTTAAAGGAAGGGGGAGTCTTGTTTATACCATTTTTTAGTTCCCTTGAAATGTATTATCTGTATCAGGATACAAACAGGGTTGGTCCAAGAAAAAGTTAGCTACGCCAGGTGCCTGGTCTAGTGTATCCTGTATCCACCTGGCCAGGTTGTATCGGAGTATTGTATCCAAGTATACAGGTATCCAGCCACCCATCCAGTATTCAGCCATTAAACAATCTGCCTTTACCTACAATACTGCCAAGTTAAAGTTCAAGAGTAACCTTCCAGCCTGGCCGGCCAAATCGGCCGAATTTGACGATTTTTCAGTTGAATAATTTCAGAAAATAAAATGAAAAACAAGCGGAAGTACGATGACGCCCTACCGGCGACTGCGGCGGAAATTTCGAAGAAAAATTTGGGAAAATTACAAAAACTAACCAAGATTGATCCTCCTAAAGTCAAGGTGAGTCGACAATTCTTGGGCCCTAACATTTTGTAGGGGGAAGGCAACGGTTTTAAATAGGCCTTAAAGACGTAGGACTCAACGTTTGCTTTAAATCTTATTGGCATTATATTTGTCACTAACATTTAGATATTTTATTTTTAAATGTAATGTGGGCGCCTCTTGAAAAGTAGCAACATCCCGTGACTAACTATCTAGTATCTCTCTTACCCTAACATGACCTGGAATGGTTTGATCAACACATCTTCCAATTTTAGGGTCTTTTTCATTCCACATATATTCATTAAAACAAAGATCATTTGTCATATTTCTTCTATTTGAGGATTTAAAAAAGTAATATTATAATATTTCGTCAAAGCAACAAACAGACATGGGATAATTTATGAAATAAACTCTATTGACAAATTATTGAAATCCAGGAAATAAAAGCTTCCGTAAACCTGTTTCTGGCAGACAGGAAGAATTCTAACTCTCTTCTGAAGATCCTCGGACACCTGGATGTAACAGAACCAGGTAAACAAGACTAAAAAAAGGTTTAACCTCAGCCGAGAACTTTTGAATTAAAGGAATTAGTTAAACTCGTGAGGAAAGTATTTGGTCTCTCTTCTGTCAGAAACTGGTTTGAGCCAATGAGAGATTAGTTAAACTAACAAGGAAAGTAATAGTTTAACTTATTATTATTCCTTTTTAAGTTCTCAGCTCAGTTATTTTATTATTTTTCATTGTAAGTTATTTTCAGCGAAATAATTGAACTTATACAGTTTACCGTATCCACAGGGAACGGCTTAGGGGATTAGCAAATGAAAGAAAATAGAAATAATAATTTAAACAAATAAAAATAAAGATGCAGATACAAAGTGAAGCGTCGTCATTGTATCTCTTGTATGTTTTATACTTGTCGCACTCGCAAGCCAAACCGAAACCCTTGCAAGTTGTAGCAAAGTCTACGTGTTTGTTTGCAGGACATGATACTTTGACTGTAGGTAGATTGTTGATAATAATTCTGCAAAAATTCTGCAAAAAAAACAATAAGATTGTTATCAATGGAGTTGACCAAGCTGAGATTGACGATATTATTAATTTTATATGCAAGACCTAATTACAGTATGATTTTGTTTCTTGTATTTGTATTCATTTTTGATATATACTCTTAAAGTTTTTTTTCTTTTGTTTAATTGTACCAATTATTTAAATTGTGTACGTTTACGAAATAAATAAATAAATAAATAAAATATTAATGTCGGACCAAACCTTAGAACTTTGTAACAAAACTTAAAATGCGCCATGTGCATCTCCACAATTTAAAGCAGTGTTTCGGATCCGTATCATTTTGATGCGGATCCGGATCCGCGGATCCGCATCCGTGATGATGGATCCGGATCCTGACTCTGATACGGATCCGGATCCGAGGTAACTTTTGATTCTGGGAATACTTTATATATTTGAAATTTGCGCCATGTGAGCATTTGCCGCTGAGTAATCCTAAAGTTAAAAATGTCGTCATTACTATTATATAAATGTAAACATTAAATTATTAAAGATAATTTTGAAAAATTTTCGTCATGTAAATAATACATTTACGAACCATTTTGATTTATTTATTCCATGGTTTTGGTTAATTTTTGGCGCTACCCGGATCCACATCAACGTTTCCTGATACGGATCCGGATCCGGATCCGAAACGCTGATTTAAAGCCTGATGTTTCTGGTAAAATAAGTTAAAATTTTAAAAACTAATTTATGCAATGAAGCCTGGGGTCATGTTGCCATTGACGTTTTCTCGGACACAAACGAAAAAAAAATATATTATTAATAGATTATCATGTTTCTAGGATCTGCAGTTACAGCTGCCCTGCAGGGGTTTAAGAGGATATTTCTCATGGAGATGCAGAGCTCACAGTTTAAGAAATCTACAGGTCTAAAGATGAATCAGTTGTATGAATTATTTTAACAAATTTGTCAATTTGAACTATTTAATCTTTAATTGGAAACTTAAGTCTGGAATGAATGAAGGGACAAACGAAAAATTGAAAAACTCTTCATAAATAATTCATGAAACGACGGATGTATTAATGAATTAACATGAATAAAAGATGAATATGAGGATGAATAAAGGAATATGTGAATGAAAAGAATAACGAAAGAATGAATATATAGGAGCTGCTGAAGCAGAAGGGCCTGAAGCTGAGTTTTCAAAATGGCTGCAGGATAGATTCCAAGATGGCGTGAAAAGCACATGTGAACTGGTTTTTCACAAGAAGCGCTCAGTCTCTTATCTCGCGATTGCAACATTGTTCAATCTTATTCAGGCGCAGAACTCAGCAACTCAAGGCAGCAGTGGAGGTACAGGCTGACCATAAAAGTAATGATTTCATATGGACTGTCAGCGTAATTGTAGGTGACTAGCATGCAAAGATGGCAATGTCTGATTCACAATGGTACCCTTACAAATTTGTCTGACTCAAGTATGAATTAGATATCAATGTTTATAATTTCGTAAACTGTTTAGTGTTTACTTTTAATTGTGGTTTCTATGCCAACTCTAGAAAAAACGACAATATCCACATTAATGATCAGACGAAGGTTTCAAGGATACCGTTGTGAATCGGGCATTGTCATCTTTGCATGAGCGGTCATTTATATCTACGCCTACCGTTCCTTAAATAGTTCAATGAATGCGAGATACAGCAGCTGCGCAATGTACATTGTACACAGCCCATTTCACTTCATTCGTTGATTTTTAAGCATCTGGTAAAACTCCTCTTATTACGCTTTTTTTGGGTCTCCTACCACATTACTGTTTTTTGGGTATCCTACCACATTACTGTATCATTATGTTTAGAGTGGAGTATGAAGGATATTGGTATACTCCAGGAGCTTCACCTCGCCCTCACGTCCAACAGGATGTCCGCCAAGGTTCCTCTCTCCAAGGTGAAGGAGTATCTCATCTACTCAGATGTATCGTTCCACTTCGTCTCAATCCTAGCCAAGATAGTTAACAAGGTAGGAAGCAGTGCTCAGAATCCTCTTAATTTGAATCCGGATTTGTCCTGACAAATAATGTATACGGATCCGTTCTGTAAAATAATGTATCCGGATCCGTACTGTAAAATAATGTATACGGATCCGTCCTGTAAAATAATTATCCGGATACTGAAAATTCTTTATCACAGAAATATGTTTAGAGAGAGAGAAAAAAACTCCATCAAAAATTGATTTAGGAAACTTTTGAGTTGACAATTGTAATCGAATAAACTAAGCTAAACCCACCCTCTCCCCGCAATTCTGCACATTCAAAAATCTATGAGACTTGAGACAATATTTTTTGAAACGGAAATAAGACGCTTAAGAAACATCTGGAGTGTTATTGATTTTAAACATTTAATAATTAATTTTTTCAGGCTGTGAAGAGTGAAAAAACTAATTTTACCTTTGTTGAAAATGTAATTGCATTTCTAGAATCATTCGATATGACAGGTGAAGTATCTATTTTTTAATATTTTATTGCCACCTGGCGATGAAAATTATAACCTAAAAATATTGTAGACAAGGAGAAGTACAGCGAGCTTCCTGTTTACCTGCGCAAGAGCGCTACAGCCGGTCCGGTCAAACTCGAATATGAGACTCTACGGAAGAACTTTGGATCAATTTGGATAAACATTCTGAAATGTAAATTTCAACTGGATCAGTACAAACGGACCCTCATCATGTTGAACGAGAAGGTAGATAAATAGATAGCAAGATATTAATAGAAGTGGGGAACTTTCTAAATATTTAATAAAATTATTTTAGGTTATTACTCTTTTGCCACGCCCACTTCTTGTCACGGACTTCCTGATGAACTGTTTCTCAGTGGGCGGAGCAATATCAATATTAGCGCTGTCTGGCGTATTCACTCTTATATCTAAGGTACCTTATCCCTTTAATTCAAGGATGTTTAATCCATCCTGTCTTGTATGTTAAATATTTGCACGATAGATTATTTTGATTTAAACTAGCCCCCCCTCCCCCTTAAAACTTAGTCCAGACCATATTTAAAGCCAACGTTAAAAATAAATTCACTGTTACGTAAATTTTATTTTTTATTATAATCAAGAAATATACCAGGAACCAGCACAGCTTTGTTTACAAAAATGAAAACAAATGTTTTACTGCTTAGGCTGAGCTTTGTTTATACTCCTTCCAGAAGTGCAGTACATTTTATTTGTAAACAGAGCTACAGTATATTTCTTGATTACATATCAGTTTAATTATTGCTGATTTAACCTAAGTGGATAAAACACATTTTCAAAAATAAGTCGCTAAATCTAGAAACTGGGCTTGTCAATGAAGGGGCAGAATTCTGGAACAGTGAAACTTTTTCAAATCATTAACATTACATTAAGATAAAATGCAAAACTTTTTTCTACTTAAAAAAAAAACATTTCAATGTGTTTTATTTTCAGTACAACTTGGATTATCCAGATTTCTACACAAAGCTTTACGAATTATTTACTGTAGAAATATTCTTCGTTAAATACAAGGTAATAAACATTTATGATGATTTTATATTTCAAAGGCACTGATTAGTGATTACTCGCCTCAAACTCTATTGGTTAAAAAAAATTAATTACGTAAAACTTCGAGACGATTTTTTTGAAACCTCCAATAGCCAAGAATCCTAGAATATCTAAACACGAGAAATCACGATGCTCTTATAAGATTATTGTCTCTAGGCTCGATTCTTCCATTTGAGTGACATATTCCTCTCTTCAACCCATCTTCCTCAACAGCTAGTTGCGGCCTTCGTAAAGCGGGTTGCACGGCTCTCTCTCCAGGCACCAGCTCATAGTCTACCTCTCTGTATAAGGTAAAGTCAGTGCTTAGGATACAATTCATTTTCATTCGGATCCGGATCCTGGAGCCGCTATGACAAAATGGATCCGGATCCAGATCATAAACATTTCTTTAAGATTATTGCTTTTTTTCTTAAAAAAGAAGAATTTTCAAATTATTTTTCCTCTTCTTTTTCGCTTGTTTTTATGTTTAAAATCGATGAAACATTTAGACACAATGGCTATTTTAATAATCTCGATTTGTTTAAGAGTTCAGATTTTGTATTTTGAGAGCAAAATGTTCTTTTACAGTTTTTAGGTGATCTTTTGCCCCTTGGATCCAGATCCGGATCCAGGAAGTCAAATTTTTACGGATCCAACGAATTCAGATACTAATTATATAATTCCACACCCTCCAAAACAAAACAAATTGAAATATTAGAGAGGTTTTATTTGTTTTTTAAGGTTTGTTCATAATCTGATTCATCGGCACCGAGGATTAGATTTTCTCTTGGATTCTCCAGACAGGATCAACTTGTATTCTGATCCTTTTATTCCAGAAGAAAGGGATCCAACTCTGTGCAAGGTCAGTACAATCCATAAATTACTAAATGAATTCTACCTTAAGTAAGATTAGAATTATGATTAATTTATATTTAATAGAAAGGGATTAATGACTAAGCTCTATTATGTATGGTTAATGGTTATGTATGGTCACTGAACCATACATAGTACATACAGTAAATTGGATATATATGTTTAGCTGTTTTTTTACGCTTCTTAGATGTAATTATTTGTTGTTATTATCTTCATTACTATCATTATCATCATTATTTTTGTTATTTTCATTTTATCATCAATATTATTCTATTAATATTCTAGGCTACAGAATCCTCATTGTGGGAGATCAAATCTTTAGCTTCACATCTTCTACCAGAGGTGAATAAATTTAAGATTTTTTTACGGACACCCCGGGCCCGAACCTATACCCGTCCTCGTAGTCAGTATTCAGGAGGGGGCTATGGGTACAAATTCCTGAATTCGCCCTACCCGTCCTTCTCTAAATAAAAATATGTTTATTTACTTCTTCATTTAAAAGACTTTACCTGGTTTGTTCATGGCCCCGGACAATCCTGCCCGGCCATGAGCACTCTCCCTTACATACGGTTATTTCTCTTTTTTGGATTCTATCCGAAGTACAGAGCATGCATTCGGAGTTAAATTGTTATTACTTGAGAAAAATGCTTGAAGGGAATTTTCTCTTTAAAATGGTAATGGCACAAAACAGTAACATCGCCATTGTAAAAACTTAAGTTTAACAAAATAAAATTTTGCAAAGCTTTTTTATATTTCAAGATATTCAAAAATAAAATGTTTAGGTGAGTAGTGCAGCTAAAGATCTCCTGGAGAGGGGTGTCAGGGAGGAGGAGAGGAAGCTCCCCGACGTCCTCGAGACCAACTGGTCCGACCTCATGGAGATAGAATTCAAGAAGAAAATCTTCGTCAACGTTCCCGTCAATTTTGAGGCCCCGGACGGTCTCAAAATGGCTAAAAACGATATGTTAAGCGAAATTTTTGAGTTTGTTTGATTTTTTTCAGATGCTATGATATTAGGAAACGTCTGGTTGGGTTGGCGACCCTGTACAAGGCTTTATGTACATCTTATCCGACAGTACAGCGCACAAAGGTTTGTAATAATTCCAACCGCAGCCGCGTGCAAGTGATTATTACTTAGCATTAGAAATGTCTGAAATTTGCTTATTTTTCATTTTATTTCCGTTTAAGCTTTCATTTACATTTTATTTTTGCCCATTACATTTTTGTTAACCTGATACATGGCATTTCTGATTCACAAAATACCCTTTTAACACTGCTCTGATCTATCATGAATATTTTCTTTGTAAATAATTGATTGTTTTCAGTTTTGGTTTCTCCATAATTTATGTTCCAAAAATTACATAATTCACCACTTGTTATGATAGAAATGATATTATTTTATTAGATAGAATTCTAGAAAGTACTGTTTGAAATCAATCTGACATGCCAAACGGAGTTTCAGTTAAAGGTATGTCTACAGTAACATAAACATTAAACATATATTTATTATTTAGAAATAGTTTCTATTCTGTACTGGGCGTGGAGCCTGGAGCTGATGGGAAGGAGATTAAAGAAAACTTTTACAGGAACTTCTACAGTTTTTTAGCAAGCTTATCTCCTTTATATTAATAATATTTATACTTATATTTGCTTCCCCCCCCCCCCTACGGCCGTATTTTACTTATACAATCTTACTGTAGCCTTTATTTAGATTATCAAAGAAGTACCACCCCGACTTAAACCAGGTGAGTCAGCTGTTTTTTAGGTCTAAAATTTCCTGCATTTTCTCTTGCTGTCGTCCTAAATTTTAGTTGTTGAAAATATTAGATTGTATTTTATGATTTTACTCTAGCTCTTGGAAACGGGAACCCAGATTTGCCTGAAAACTAAACTGTCAGTTTAAAATCCAGTCCACAACACTTACAATTTTTAAACCAAGCTAAGAGTATTTCCGTAGTTTCATCGAGTTCCCTAGTGAAAATTTGATGCACATCGGTCAAGGGGTTCATTATTTATGATTGAACGTACAAAGGTACAGACTTACAAAGATCACTACTTTATATAAATGATTAGTAGAATGTCACGTAATTTTATACGTTGTTAGTTGTAACTTGGTTTTTAAAAATGAATGAGTGCTAAAGCACCTCATCTGTAGGATAGAGCGGAGGCTTTATCAAGATTTAAAGAGGTTGCAGAGGCCTACGAGGTATTGTCCAACCCAGAAAACAGGAAAGCATACGACCTTTACCATGGCTTCCAAATAAACAAGTTAGTTCTTGAGTTTTTATTATTTTAGTTCTTCTTTTCATATTTAAATATTGTTGACTGTGTAATTTTATTTCTTGTTTGTTTAAGGGAAAATCCATCTGTTAGAAATCGTCAGTTTCGACGATTTTCCGGGATGAAGGGCTCTTTCCAGGTTAGAATATTGTTTAGGATACAAAGTTTGTGTATAGACCCTTTAATGTTAACAATACAAGGTTTGTGTACAGTTCCTTTAATGTTAAGAATACAAGGTTTGTGTAGAATACAAAGTTTGTGTACAGTTCCTTTAATGTTGAGAATACAAGGTTTTTGTATAGTTCCTTTATTGTTTAGAATGGAAGGTTTGTGGATGAAGAAGGCCCCCCTGAGATGAGAAATATTCAGTATGACTTAAGTCCGGAAAAAATGGAAAAAATCTGGGTAAACTATCTTCATCATATTAAGCCATCCAATTGCTGAATGTCGAATGGAACAAAACTAAAAATCCATAAGTTAGTAATTGGTTAGTTTTGTTCAATTTTTTAGAATTTGATATATTAAAATGAAATCAAATAATTTTACTTCCAATTTTTTCCGGTGATCTATAACAATAGAATTTGATTGAAATGGTCCTCGAACAGTTTCTGCACTGTACCAGTGTACAATGTACATAAAGAATATACATCTGGCCTCTTTTCTTGAAAAAAAACAAAACATATTTTGTTCTGCTATTTTAACTAAAACGTCGGATTGAGATGGACTTAGTGCCACTTTTGAATCAATTATGATCTTGCATGTTCATTTTACCCTTTGTCGTGAACACTTCTGTTAAGCCTTGAAAAAGCGTAGTGATACACATTTTGTTTCTTATTTAATCTAGACTAACTATCAGTTATCACAAACATATCCATTAGATAACTTTGACAAAGTTTTATAGCAATTTCTCGAGGCAGGGACATCAGATAGAACTAATATTGGTCGCGATCAACTCTTAGGTTTCAGTCTATACCCCCTTTCATTTAACCTTAACAGTCTCTTTACTAAGGAGTAAAATTATATCATTTGTCTGTTAAGGCGAGATATCAAGAAAGGTGGAACAAACGCGAAGAATTAGAGAGAGTAAGGTGAGCTCTTAACTTGAACAATTTTTTTAAAATCATATAATTTACGAAAACCCAAAAATGAATGATGATTTAACCGTCGCAGCAAGAATTAATTATCTGTTAAGATCAAATCACGATCCTTGATGTAAGAATTTGTTATTTCTTCATTTTATTCAAAAGAGGTTTAATTCGTTCCTGCACTTTTTCTGTTTAACATAACATTTAGTGTTCCTTTAATTAAAAACTGATATTTGAAAAATGTTAAACCTAGCTTTGATTTAATCATTTCGCGAGTACGAAATTCCAGGATCACGATCAAATTTTTGCCATGTGAAAATTTTGGAGCACCATCATTTATGGAATGTTTTAGAGATTTAGAAACGAAGAAGGAGATATTCCAACGGAAAATAGAAGAGATTTATCATTCATTAGTTGTTTTTAGAGATTTAGAAAAGAAGAGTGAGGGAAAATAGAAGAGATTTATAATTATTGAATTGTTTAGATATCTAGAAAAGAAGGAGATATTCTGACGAAAAGGATTTATTATTAATGAAATGTTGTGAGATTTAGAATAGAAGAAAGAGATATTCCGATGGAAAATAGAAGAGATTTATAAGTAGTGAATTGTTTAGAGCTTTAGAAAATAAGGAGATATTCCGAAAGATATTCTGACGGAAAAAAGGAGAAATTTATAATTCATGAATTGTTTTACAAGATTAAGAGAAGAAAAAAGAGATATTCCGAAAGATATTCTGACGGAAAAAAGGAGAAATTTATAATTCATGAATTGTTTTACAAGATTAAGAGAAGAAAAAAGAGATATTCCGACGGAAAGTAGAAGAGATTTATCATTTATGAATTGTTTTAGAGATTTAGAAAAGTAGAAGAGATATATCATTTATGAATTGTTTTAGAGATTTATAAAAGTAAAAGGAGAAATTCCGACGGAAAATAAAAGAGATTTATAATTAATGAATTGTTTTAGAGATTTAGAAAAGAAGAAAGAGATATTCCGACGGAAAGTAGAAGAGAGAAGAGCAGATATGCAGAATATGACGGTAGAGGAGAAGGAAGATTTCTTATTTAAACTCAGGTTAGTTCAATCAATTAATCGAACCAACTAATCAAGTCACAAATTTGAGGATTGGGGTCAAATTTAAATCTGATACTAATATCTAATCTGATACTAATATCTGATCTGATACTAATATCTGATCTGATACTAATGTCTGATCTGATACTAATATCTTATATGCACCAGAATGTTGAGACCAGACGCGGATAAGTCCTGGGAGAAGGTGGTTGAGGATGGAGATGAGAAGGATACAGCTTCAGGATGGATCCGGAGAGAAAAAGAGAAGGTTCAACAGAATATGGATTGGAGAGAGAAACTTCGAGAATCTATTAGGTAATTAGATTAATAATGGAATCCATTCTCAGAAATGTAAAAACTGGTCAAAATAATTATGAGGGTTTTAGGTTTACAATTACACCACTCGATCTACAATAAATTGAAGTTAAAAGGTTGAATTGTATGTTTATTCTCTATATCCTTTCAACCTATTAAGCTTTATGAAAATTCTCAACGTTGATTGAATCCTAATAAACCGACCAAATATACAAGCTAAATGTTTACACTTTACAGTGTGAACCAAGACTCAAGTTATGACAGTCTAATAAACAATAAACATGTACACTGTGCATTGTACCAACTTCCCGTTTCACTTCGTAACTGATTTAATAATTAGCAAAATTATTTGCATTGTAACAACGTCAAATACACTTAAGTATTGCCTTAATGGTGTCTGACTGTTCCACAGTTTAATGGTTCTCTCTGCATTTAAAAAATGATAATTATATGAATTAACCTTCATTCCGTAGTAATCCTCTTCAACATGGACTGAAATTAACATATTAAAATTACATCAATAAAAATGTCACAAATTATATGTTAAATATTTTATTCTTTAATTACAAATTGTCACGTTTTGTTATGCATCTTGAGATAAACTATTTCAGTTTATAAAATCGAAAATATAGTTTGATAACATTAAACATTATGCATCTTGAGATAAAATATTTCAGTTTATAAAATCGAAAATATAGTTTGATAACATTAAACATTATGCATCTTGAGATAAACTATTTCAGTTAATAAAATCGAAAATATAGTTTGATAACATTAAACATTATGCATCTTGGGATAAACTATTTCAGTTTATAAAATCGAAAATATAGTTAGATAAAATTAAACATTATGCAGACATAGAATGAAATATTTTTTAAAGATGACTAGCTTGGGAACCCAACGTTGCCCAGGTTATTAATATTTACTCCTGCCGTTTAGCCGCCCTTTGTCGTAAATTACGAATTTAGCTTCAAAACCAAGCTAACAACATTCCCGCAGCTTTCCTGAGTTCCCCAATCAAAATTATATGCAAATCGGTCTAGGGGTTCCTGAGTTATGATCGGACAAACAAACAGACAGATAGTCAAACAGATAATACATCTTTATATATATGTATGGAAGATGAGAATATGATTCTCCTTATTTATTTAAAGAGAGAAAATAGAAGAGGAGGAGAAGATGAATAGAAGAACTTCTACCTCACAATTTAAATATAATAGGGAGGACAGATCAAACAGTTTTCTTCTTTTGCATATTCATATTTTCTCATCTTAGTTGAAAACAATTTGTTTTATTTATCAATTCTTCAGTATACACCTGAACACTTGACAGATTATTTATATTTTCTATTGCGTGGTGAACTTGCAGGCGTAATTTCTAGTGATCCTCCATTATAAGAGGGACATGCCCGATTTACAACTATACCCTTCGTTATCTGATCAATAATGTGGACGATATCGTCGTTTTTCTAGATGAAAAAATGTTTATTATGAAAATGTTCCACACTGTTTTTATAATAGAAATCCACAAGTCACTTTTTAAGAGATCCCACATTTGATTATAATCATTTTAAAATGGACATGCCATTCTAAAAATGGAGGGTCATTTAAGATTACGTGTACACCTTTACTTGATATGAATGTTCTCTAAAATCTACATAATATCTGTAAGTTGAAATAACGTATTTGCAATTTCCTGAAGAAATGTTTAATTTGAAAACATTGTTGTTCCTTGATCAGGACTAGGAACAGAGAAGCTGAAGAAAAAGATCCTTTTCGCCAGGAAAACGTTTAGACAAATTTTTATTAACAATGCATAAAATATGGCAGGTTTTTTGGACCTAGTAAAATTTAGTATTTTATATTCCTCGGGAAATTATTTTTATTTAGTACTGAGACTAGAAATAACACTACAGTAAAAGAGCACCTTAATCTCGATACCTCAGGCCAAATTTAAAGAATTTAAACTGCGTAGCTGAACCGCCAAAAACCGGTTCCAATTGAGCGCGGCTCAAATCTTAAAAAACTAAATACAATTTCAAGTGGAACCAACCATGTTTGAGCCGCGTCTCAAATTCTTTAACTTATGCCTCTGAATTCGGTATTTATTGCATTAACCTTTGATTCGTAACGATTAAGTGCTTAATCCGTAAAGAACAGCTGACTCGTATTTTTGTGATCTCAATGTCCAAGAACAGATTTGTTTGGCTTCTGATTGGTCGCTGCTTAAACATCTCCAGAGAACTCCTTACGAAAATACTGAATTCATTTATAATCTTTTTGAAGAGATCAACATTCTACAATACTGAAGCTCCGATCTCAGTTTCAGTTACCTTCATAAAATTGTTTTTTGTTTTTTTTTAATAGTTTACCCAAGATAATTATATTTTAAACGTGTTCTGTGTCAGACTTCTACTGAAAGAAACACAACGGGTTCGGATGAAAATCGGTCAGAGGACGCTTATCAGGAGTTGGACGAAGATCCGCTGATGAAAGGAATTCGTCAGGACGACCCAACCAACTTCACAGACTTTGTGTCCCAGGGGTACACGAGGTCAAGGGACACCTTGGAGGAGATGAAAACCTCTAGGCCGTTCACCTACCACCAGCAGAGCGTTAAGCATGGTATCCTCCATCAGGCGGAGGTCGGGCTACCCCGGTGGGTCATAGTCTCCGCTTTAACCGTTATCACACTCCTTGTGTTCTCCGAGGTTGTGTTTGTAGATCAGCTAGATAAACCTGTTGAAGGAAACCAACGTGATAAAAGATAACTTGTTATTTATAAATTTGATTTACTTTATGTAATTAGAAGAATATACGTGCCATTGTTAAACTAAATTTCACTATTTTTAAAGAGAAATATTTCAGAATTTTAGATAACAAAATGATTTTTTATTATTTTTAAAATTTGTGGTGTGGTATTAAGAGTGAATATTTGAAAAGAAAGTTTTTCATTTTTACTTTTTTGAATGCAGTTTATTAAACCAAATTAGTTGAAATTTGTTGAGGGTACACCCATGGATCCTTTTCAGATAAAAGTGTTGTGGAAAGACTTCGTAAATATAAAATATGTACTGGAGTTAATGAACTAAAATATGTACTGGAGATGTACTGGAGTTGATGAACTAAAATATGTACTGGAGTTGATGAACTAAAATATGTACTGGAGTTGATGAACTAAAATATGTACTGGAGTTGATGAACTAAAATATGTACTGGAGTTGATGAACTAAAATATGTACTGGAGTTGATGAACTAAAATATGTACTGGAGTTGATAAACTAAAATATGAATGCACTAATGGTCCAATCTTTCAAGATATTGCCAAATACTTTATTACAGAGGTTTTTTATTTATCTCCTTCTCAAACACTTTATTTTGTCTCTTGCTTCACTGAATAAATTAATTAATTACTTACTTATAACTTCCGTACACACTTACAAGGTAGGTATAACCAAGCTCTTTGCTAATTTGTCCACGGTCACAAGTATGTTAAAGGGTAAGGAGGTCTGGTAACAGTTCAAAGTTAGACCGGATGAAAGTTAATAAACATTTTAATGTGTCTTGAAATCTTTTAAATATGACGATTCTAAGTTTCAATTAAGTTTTCTTCCTGTAATTTTATAGAATTTTAATGGCTTATTTACTGGCTAAGAAATAAAGACGTTTACAGTTGAAGGGAAGGATAAATGTTAGGAAACAGACTCGAATTCACATCCTTACTAGGACATCATGCATGTACCTTAATCAAAATTTAGACAAATTCAATCTCTGAAGTGAGTCTTAAATCGTCTTGTCGGTTTTCAAAATACAGTCTTACTGATATGTATCGTTAAGATAAAAAAATATATAATATTGATATTTGGTTTGCAGATAATTTTGTGTTTTATTAAAGTAAGCCTAATTTCAAGAGAAATTCAAGTTAGAGAGAATTCTAATGGACATCAATTTTTTAATGAATAATAAGCTTTAAGGGACTCCGCGAAGTTTTTAGTGACGCTTTATGCAAAGATGACAATGTCCGATTCACAACGATACCCTTGAAACTGTTATCCAATTAATAATGTGGATGATAAATTGTTGTTTTTCTAGGTTTAAAAGTATTAACTCTGATTTTTATAAACCTTAGATGGAATTTAAAGAATTCGAGCCGCGGTTTAAATCCACCAAAACCCAGTTTAAATTAAGCGCCGGCTTAAATTTTGAAACATTTGATACAATTTTAAGTGGAACCAACCATATTTAAACCGCGGCTTAAATTTAAACCGCCGCTCAAATTTTTTAAATTCGGCTACATTAGCCTAATTCGTTCTTGGATCAGCCAAATCATTTAATGGTTTGTAACGGGCATCTCTTCATTAAGTAGGTCGAAATCTGGAAGAAAAAATTAGTTAATAAATAAAAAGACATGATAACATTCTTGAGTTTTCTACACAATTTGATTTAACTGGTTTACCATGTGGTTACATAAACAGTATTATACATATGATATAGTTCACTTAGTTTATCGATTTTTTTTAAATACCTTGCTTTAGAAAACCTTTAATTCGAACGAGCAAGTGACAAAATTTGTTTTTAATCCTTGTTTAAATTGCAATTCTGTTGGGACACCCTATAGTTAATATAGAGAAGGAATTGGATTACATCTATGTTTAATCTTGGTGTAATACATATTTGGAACGCCCGCATTCTCTTAACTTGTTTTACTTGTATGTTATGCGAAGGAATGTTGAAATCAGAGATGGAATTTAATGAATTTGATCCGCGGTTTAAATCCGCCAAAACCCGGTTGGTTGAAATGTTGAAATCAGGGCTTTCTTAGAAAGCCGAGAAAACCGACCTGATATGGTGGGGTCCTTAGAAGCTCTGTCTGATAAATTATGAATTTATAGTTATCAAATTATATTGTTTTGTAAACAGATGATTTGTAATTGTGGTTTCTCTACAAAAGAGATTTGCGCTCTTCTACTGCAGGAGAACAGACAGGAATTATCAGAACTAATACTTTTCAACCTAGAAAAACAACAATATTTTCCACATTATTGATCAGATAAAGGCTTTAAAGATTTCATTGTGCATTGTCACTAGCATCTTTGCATCAAGGGTTTCAAGATCTCTTGAGATTATGTTTACTGTTTCTTTTACAAATAAATGTTATTATAAAAATAATTAGTTAAACATATAATTGCAAAGGATAAGACTGTAATGAGAACCTGGAACTAACCGGATTCCTGTTGACTATGTTTCCTTTTTTATTTAAATCATTTACAAATAACTACAATATTCTGGTTGGAAAAATATCGTTAACCAGCAAAAAGTTATCTTTTTAACCCTGTACTCCACAAATTCAACGGTACAGTGAGAATGAGAGAACATATTGGTTACATTAGAAATCTCCATACAAACCAGCCTACAGGAGAACATTTTAACCTTCCTGGACATGAACTCTACCATCTAAAAGTTAGCGTTCTAGAGAAGGTTTGGGACCACGGAAGAAGTTTACTTGAAGTACGAGAATCTAAATACATCAGAGATTTTATGACTGAACTCAGAGGAATGAACAGAAAAAAAATAGTTTTATTTAATTGTTAACTGTAATTCAGTATGTTTTTAAAAAAGAGTTTTTTTATGTCCAATTCTTTAAAAGGTTTTAAATACCCCTCCTTAAACAAGCCGTTCCCCTCCCCCTCCCCCGACTCACGCAAAAGTTCGTTAATTAGATCGACCCCCACCCCAACTCTATATTCATCACACATCTACACAGTTTGTTTTTAATCTTTGTGAAGAAACAATCTCAAGGAATAATAATTGTCTTAAAACATTTTTTTAGAAAGTACGTGAATATTTGCAAATTATCTTTTTTCCATCTCATAATCTCAGTTCTTTTCCCTTATGTCCATTTGACAGCCCAAATTTTTATTTTAAATAATCTTTTTGTTTGTTTATCTTCTTGTGATTTTTACATTTTTTCATTTTTTTTTATCGATTTTGATGGTTATTATATCGTTAGAACTGACGAGGGTCAACCCAGACCGAAATATATTTTCAATAAATGTGGAACTAACATCTACTTTTATACTCTACAGAGGTTTAGTCCATCACCATCACTGAATTTTAAGTGTAACCTTAATTTAAGTAAAACATCTTTCTTTTCAAGATGGCAAAAGACAGAACTTTAGAAGTAAGTTATTTCAACCAGTATATGCAGGAGGACATGTTGATCCGATGCAGGTTGGAGAACTACTACAGGATTTCTCCGGGAGAATATCTTTTTTCCCCGTATTTTCTCCTATAATTTCAAGAATTCCTAGTTTGCATTTAATGAGAAATTCCCACAAAGGATGAGACTTCAGAGACGATTGTACGGAATTTGTTAAGTCCATTTCTTTACATTTAGGGTTCTGTTTAGGCCTGAACTGGAAATCTGTGCTAAATCATTTAGCAAAGCATTACTCAATTAAGTACAGAAACCAAAAAGCAAGCTTCAAATAGTCATATTTTATGAATTTTTGGTATTCTTTACAGTCTCATCCTATGTGGGTAACCCTGTACATTTATTTAATATCTTTAAATTTATTTTAAAGAAAATAAAATTAATTATACCTCTTCATTTTGCAATCTTGAACGTGTCCAAAGAGGGAGGAAATCCTCGGACGCCATGAGCCTTGAAACACGAGCCTCCCAGATTTGCAAGGCAGACCGAGCCTCCACTATGCAGACCGTGCCTCCACTATGCGGTGAACGAGTCTCCACAATACAGAACAACTTTTTTTAAATCTTGGTTTTAATGTGTAATGAAAAATGTTAACAATTTTTTTTTGACGTAGTGGCATAAGAATTTTACTAAAGATTAGATTTACTTTTTGATTGTCATGATTATAAACATATATGGACTCATAAAGTGGTTTATAAGATTTATACTAAAACTTTAAACATTTCTTACGCAGAAAGGAAGATATTTGGAGAAATATTTCTGGATTAAATTTAGTTTGTTTTGTTGTAATCTTTGATTTAAACAATATGGTTTTTTGAAAAATATTAAGATCTAAAAAAATTATACAAATTTTCTAGATTTAATTTGAACTACAAAAAAAGGTAATGCTGAAATCAAAGATTATAAAAGATGAAATAAAATCCAATTCATATTTTTTTCTCTAAATATTTTTCTTTTTATGCAAAGAATGTTTAAAGTTTTTATATACCACTTTATTAATCATAATTAGGAACTATTTATGATAATTGATAAATACTTCTCATCTTTGAGAAACCACTCATGCCACTATGTCAAGTAAAAAATTGTTTTCATTTTTCATTACACATAAAAACCAAGATTTNTAGTGGAGGCTCGGTCTGCCTAGAAAATCTGGGAGGCTCGTGGCTGCATAGCGGAGGTTCATGGAGTCCGAGGGTTCCCTCCCTCTTCCAAATGCATCTCCTCATTCTAATTCAGACAAAATCGGATTTTTAACACGCACACAAATCTAAATTGGTTGTCACAAAGTGGGCCAGTGAAATATGCAAAGAGTCCGAATAAGAAAATATAGAAAATTGACCGATATGAAAAAAATGTGAATACTCATTTCTCACCCAATGCCCAATTTTCAATATTTTTTTTATTCTCCAAATTGTTTTGAGCTCCGGTATTCAAGATGGGTTTTACTGCTATTTCACATTTTTATTATTGAACCGCATTTGAGGCAGGCCTGTTTGAATTTTGGGAAAATTGCAATTTATAAACATTCCCGTTAGGATTCCAAGTAGAATACCATATTTTACTTTACTTCTCACCATGCAATATTGTTTAAAATAAATAAGAAAATAAAGCTTGAATATTTTTATTCAATAATAATCACTTGAACATTTTAACATTAAACCAATAAGATTTAGAATATAGTGTAGACTGTTGACTGTAGACAGTACAAGTTCAAATCAGAAAAAGTTAAGAAAGGCAAAATAGCAATTCAACCCCTCATTTGAACAGGATTGCTGAGGGAGGAAGGAAATGAGATAGTTAAATATGCTTTAATAGCTTAGTAAAAATTGAAAAAGATTTATGTTGAAAAAAAAATTTTATTTTTTTCTGTTGAAGTAAACTTTTAATCCATATAATCTTGAGAGGAGGGAGGATTCTTGAAAGTTAGGATTAAAGAAATTACTAGAGCTCTTGATCGACAGGNGGATTAGTTAGAAGGGGGGGGGATACAAGGAGCAAAATACAACATATTGTCAAAGTTATTGATAAAAGAAAAAACATTCTTTTGACTGTGCAATAGAATTTACATTAAAGTACATTCTTAGGGGTCAAATAACTTTGTAGTACATTTGAAAACTTTACAAAGGACTTGTAAAGAACAAAATGTTTCGTAGTACAAAGTACATTATGAAATAAGACGTGCTTCGTGTACAAATACTTATGTATTTATAAAGTACTGAAGTACTTCACGAAGCACACATTATTATGTACAAATACAGTGTGAATTAAGTACAAAGTACAGAGTGAATTACGGCATTTCAAAATTAAAATAGATAAAAGAACACAAACATACTGTTGTTTTCTTTTATTAATAAGAAATGCTTTTTCTATTCGCAGATTTTAAAACACGAAGAATAAAGTTGAAGAAAAAGAAGATTTTTGTTAATTTCTTTGTGATCCGGTTTAACTCATGGTTGGTAAAGAAAATTTGTAAGCAAAAAAGTTTGTTCACAACCCATATCAACCGGTTTTGACCATATTTAGACGACTTTTATTATGTTAAATCTGAGTCTGATGCAGTCAATTTAAATCCTTTTATTGTCCTGCGAAATAGAGCTTAAAATGGGGCCCGCACAAGTTAGTACACATTTTGCATGTAGCTTGTATAGTGCAACAGTACGGTATGTGCAGTACAGTACAACGTACTGCGGAAGTGAAAAGGTTTGTTTAAGTACGTATTAAAATCACAATAATCACTGTTCGATAGGAAAAAATTAGGGTTTATAAAAAGTGTCACAGTTGACAGCTTTCAGTTGGGAGGGGGGGGGGGGGCACAGCAGGGGTCTGCGTTCAGTAATTTCAGTGCAAGAAAAAGAGGGGGGGCAAATATGATTGCCTTTGTCATTTTTACAGTGCAATGTCATTACCATTTTTAACTTAAATAAATAAATTAATTAACTAATTAAAAGCTTTGGGTTTAAATATTTTGTCTGTCGATTATTGACCAGGGGTTAGAGTTGGCCTGAAGCATTTTAGGACGTTTTATAAAGGACAAGAATAGGCTAAATATGTCCTTTATTTGATGTGTCTGAACACAAGATGCTTCTTTATAAGTTTTCCCTCAGCTCCCAATTATCTAAAGAAAAATATCAAAATCATCCAATATATGAATAACAAAAAAAAGAATGAAAAAAAGGTAAAAGAGATAAAAGAAGAGTCAAACGGTAAAAGAGATAAAAAAGAATAAAACGGTAAAAGAGATAAAAGAAGAATTGAACGGTAAAAGAGATAAAAGAAGAATAAAAAGGGAAAAGAGATAAAAGAAGATTAAAAAGGGAAAAGAGATAAAAGAAGATTAAAACGGTAAAAGAGATAAAAGAAGAATAAAACGGTAAAAGAGATAAAAGAAGAATAAAACGGTAAAAGATATAAAATAAAAATAAAAAGGGAAAAGAGATAAAAAAGAATAAAACAATAAAAGAGATAAAAGAAGAATAATACGGTAAAACCAAACTAAAGAGGAGAATATACATGCAAATGAACATAAATAAAATATAAAATAAAAATACAACAATAAAAGACTTAAAAAATTGAAATAAAAAAACTTAAAACAACCTTAGTCTTACTTCTGCATTGGGCAATTCTCTTTCAGCACTGCTCTCTCTAAAGCAATATAAAATCAGGATTTTTATTTAAAAGTCTTGTAAATTTGGTAATGTATGAACACTTTAAATTTCACTTTTACTATAGCCAATCTTACATATAAGAATACATAACAAGAGCGCATGATATGTCGTCTTTAAATATATTTACAGGGTTACCCACAAAGGATGAGACTTCAGAGACGACTGCACGGAATTTATTAAGTCTTTGTTCTTTAATTTATGATTTCTCGTAATTGTCAGCTAATCTCTTCAATTAGTTTCTCATTTATAGAGGCAGAAAGCCAAGTTCATTCAATATATTTGAAGAGCTATAGGTGGTCATTACAGTGTCGTCCTTTGTGGCTAACCCTGAACTTTTGTATAAATCGAGTGTTCTATATCAAACCCTTCTTTAGAATCAAAATGATTATAATGCAATCTTTGGACTTAAGAATAGTTTATGTCAAGTTATGATTCAAAAATATTATTCTCAAAAAATTGACTGTTTAACTCAGAACAATCTAAGAACCCCTAAATAAAGGACAAAATGTCTCTGATAAAAGTACAAATAAAATGTTAAGATTATTGTTAGAAATATATTCTTGTCGGAACATCGGGCAGAAAAGTTATTTATTCAATTTTTAAAATTTAAAAAATCTTTTTCCAAAAATTCTTCTTGTAGTCAGCATATTTGATATTTAGTCCTATCATATTATTGTATTCTTCATTAATGCAAACTTTAAATATTTTTAAATATTGAAGATCTAACGGGAATGAAAAATTGGACATTAATTTTTTCCATTCTTTTTCATACTTATTACCTAAAAAAAATCATTTCCCCACTTCAGTGAATACAATTCTAAAATATCTAAGTTCTGGTGAAATAATATAATTTTCAAAAGAGGGGGGATATACATCCCTGGCAAAATTATCGTAAGGGGAATGATTGCATATTTCAAATCTCCATAATTTTACAATTTTTGGAATTCAAAACAAAAGAGAATCTTACAGATATGCTTCAGAATCATCTTTCTCGTGAATAGCTAGTTTTGTAAATCATGAATATTTTCTGTAAATTATTATACTGCTGTTTTCAGGCGCGTAGTGGAGGGGGGGCGGTACCCCTGTGCCCCCTCTTGACATGCACCCCCATTTTATGATTATTTCTCAAATTCTTTCTTGTGCCTTAATCTTATTTACAATATTTTTTTCGCGGGGTTTCATTTAAAATGATTGGTAATTATGGTCAGATGACTAATAGTCAGCTTTCAGGTAGATTAATATAGATTTTAAACTTTATTTTTTCTTAATACCGGTTTTTTAGGGGGGGTACACAGTAACCGTTAGGGGGGTGCTTACGCGCGCCAAAAGTGCACATCCCCCCTAGGATAAACCTCCACTACGCGCCTGGTTGTTTTTCATGTATACATTCAATAAGATTTATTTGGTTTCTGATTTCAAAAGAAATCGAGCCTTATTTTATAATCCCTATATCTATGCAACCCATTATCGTAGACCGTAGATATTTCAAACTGTGAATTCTGTTTGTTCTAATAATTTTTATTATAAAATACTGGTATGCTTACATCATCAGGCCGGTTGGAAAGATATAGGATAAGTATCTTTGAGTTTGTGGCATTATTTGTAAACTGTATTTTAGATTGGTAAAAAAATCTTCTATATTATATGTTGGCTTCCAAACCTGGATAATCTCGGTAAATGAATTAATAAACGTGCTTTGCTTATTTAATTAGAATGTCTGGAATCCCTCCATGGAAATATTTCGGAAAATTCTAATAAATACCAGAACAGAATTATAAAATAACAAAATAAGAATGAGGAAACAAAATAGTTATTTTTTTGCGAAGGTGTTTTTTTTAAATGCATAAAATTCTGTAAATTTTGTAATATCCATTCCACTCTAGCTTTTTTTATGACATTTAGATTAGTATTCGTTTATTGACATACAAAACGTCTAATTTTCCCAATGGTTCTTTAAGAAACACCCTGGAATTATATATATCAACATTAGTTCAGTTTTTATGGGTTGAATGCATAGAGATAAAGTCTTTTACAGTTAATCTTAACAATCTTTAAATTTAAACTTCACATAAATAATGTCCATATGCTCCATGCACAATCTGTATTGCTTTAATCGCTATATTCAAAATTTCATTGTTTTATCACATTCTCTAAATAGGATAATACAGCGCTCAAAATATAAACAAATATTTAACCACAAAATCCTACAATTTATCTTCTTCTTTTTAGTTTAAAAATCGATAATACTATTTTTTCCTTGTAAAAATGCTTTTTAACTTTAATTTTGTCTTAGAATATCTATTTTGTATTACTCCCCCCTACCCTAATAATAATATTATAATATTATGATAATATTTCACCCCTTGTAAACAATAAGAATTTTTTTACCTTGATGTTTTACTGCTGAGTGCTAGCAGCTTCATCTGCCTGCTGACCGCTATCGCGTTGTATGCTTGCTAAACATATAAGGTCAAGTTAGATATTTAAATAACAACGTATCTTTTTAATTAAAGAACTTTCTGTGTAATTTTAGCGATGGCTAAGAAACCGTCGTTTTTCCAACTAAAAGCGACAATTATCGACCAATGTTTTTTTCAATTCTACAAATTAGGAAATGCAATTTTACAAAAGCCACGTGAGTAATTTATTTTTAGTTAAATGTTTAAATGCTTGGAACGATTTTAAATCTTCAGAGAGCAGACCACAATTTAGAAATTTAAAAAAGGGCTTCTGGGCTGTACATTTTTTCAGTCATCTAGGATAAACCCATATTAATTTTCTTTGGGTTGGATTCCCAAAATGTACTTTTTAAAAACTATTTTAGAGAATTGATCAATAAATATATTTTCTGTAAGATCTCAACATAATTAAAATTGATGAATAAATAATTTTTGAACGATCTAAATATAATTAAAATTGATCAATAAATAACTGCTGCATATTCAATTTTACACCACCATGCTCCCATGCATGCATGCATTAAATATCCAAACTTAAAAAATTTATCATGCAGAACTAACATAATTCTAAACCATCTTAAATAACACTAAAGAGGGGGTTTCCGAGAAATATAAGGAAGTATAGAATAAACCATAATAAAATCTCACTTTCAAGACCCCAAAAAAATGCTTCTCTTTTTGGAGGCTTAGTTGTTCATGCTAGATAATTTTAGAAATCATGCAATACATTTTTATTTGAATTTTCTTTTACAGATAAATCGGATAGGTGTAAAAGTAGTGTTGGTTAATTGATATTTGTTCTATTAATATTTATCATATACCCTGTTCTTGTAACTTCCCTAGATAGATAAAACTGATAGTTTTCAAACAGACAGAGGTATTTTAATGGCTTACCAAAACCCTTTTAGAATTGTTAGGAGTCAAGTTTCAAATATTCCACTCAAATATTATTTTCTTCAGTTGTAAGAATATTGTATGTCCTAGGTCTGCAGGAAAGCTGGCAGTTCTCAAAATATTTACAAGGTTTTAAACAGCAAAAAAGTTGATCCCAATAAACAAATCCTCCTTTGCTCTGCTTGCCTATAGTGCCTACGCCCTTAATTCCAAACCCTTTAGCTAAAAGTTACCAATACACAAATTGTCAATATTGATGTATTTGATAGCTTTAGAGGGAGCTCTGGGAATCTACATTACATTTTTCACCAAATATTCATATTATGGATACAGTGTGTCATATTAAAAAGTATCATTAATTGTATCCTAAATAATGCTGTTTTTAGTAGGACACACTGTATTACCTCTTACCGGTTCAAATCTTTGATTTTTTTTAAAGAATAATGAGATTTTTACGACCGACGACGCCTCAAAACTATTTGACAAATTTTAAAGAACCAAAAGTAAATCTACGTTTTTTCATATATTTCTTTTTTTAATTTACTGGAATTGTCGCAAACATTGGTTTTATCATGAAACCATTATATTATCCTTTCACAAAAATTAAACTTTTTTACCAAACTAAAGGGCGACTTTAAAAAATGTATAGAACGGAATTTCTTTTACGAAATTCCGATTTAATTGGAACATTTTTTCCTGCTAGATAGATAGATACAATATATTTATACAATTATCTTCAGGCTAAATGAACTCAACAAAACCAGAATAAGGATTAGAACTCGAGTACTTACACTAGGGTTCAGAACGGTATGGTTTGGTATTTAAAAGGCTAATTCGGCTCAATCGGATCAAAATGTCATGTATAAAATAAATTGGATGTTGTTTAAAACGGAAACGACATTTTGATTTTATTATTTTTAAACCACCTTGGTAGCACTCTCCCTTTAAAAATATTTCGAATTAAAAGTTGAGAATAAATACAATAAACTACACAATTTCATAATTTAAAAGCAAATATGAAATTTGAAAGTTAATATCGAACAAACTTTAAATATTTTAATCACTCAACTAAACTTGGGGATTAAATTTCAAAGTTCTGAAAATTTTGGAATGATTATCATGTTATTTTTAATTCCTTTCATTAATCCTTCAACAAGCAATTACAAAAAAATGCGCAATTTCCTGATGTACAAACCCCCTGAAATAACATAACTTGCAAAACTGGACCTCTTGTGGCCACTTCTAAAACCTCGGGCAAAGTTTATTTCCTATAAAAGGGACTGTAGCTTAAATTAAAGTGACCTTTTAGTTAAATTTTCATATGATAATTGAAGACAGAGAACTCAGAGTATTATCTCTGAAATGGTGTTTATAAAAGAAAAAAAAATTGGAGTGTACGTTAGCGTAATGTATGAACTCAAAGCGGACGATGTCATATTTATTCCAGGAAAATCTAGAATATTCTTTGTCCAACGGGGTTTTCAACAATTTAAATGTGAATATTTATATTCTGCCACTTCTATAAAGTTAATTTTAATATTCATTTCATTAAAAACTGCTGCAAACAAAGTGTTCAACAAGTACAAGCGTTTCTGTAGAAAATAAGGAAAAGTATCTCGATCCTTCATCAGTCAAAGGGTTACAGAGTACAGTTGTGAATCGTGGCTGCCCCTCTTTACATATACGGTTACTTAAAAATACGCTTTCAGTCCCTTTAAGTGGTAGAATTAACTATCTAGGATGCGTGTTCCTTTTTAAATTATTATTTACATATTTTTACTCCGCAGGCAAATTGGTTTTAAATCTTCAAAAGTCTTTGCCTGCGGTAATGTGTGGACTTATAGAGGGAAGGGATGTGTGTCTTCTCATCCGACCTCGAGGAAACGTATCTTAAGGGTTCTAGACATCTGGATTTCCGAGAAAACAATTATATTTCTACTCTTGAACCAGAATTAACTGGAAAACTTATTTTGAAAACGGAATTCGTTGACTTTTGACACAATTTTGTATTCCAGATGGAATCTACTAGATAAATAGGTTTGTTTCCTTGAGGTAGATTTACATCAAGTGGCATCATATTAGATCCGCTTTTTAGCATTCTAGGTTTTTGTCTTTTAAAGGCTTTGAGAAAAATCGACATGTTTGATTTTATTACACAATGTAGGTTGTTAACTTAGGTAGATAAATAATGTTTCTAAACGATAACAAACAATTGGTTATATATGCTTTCTCTAGTCTTATATATTTTGACGGTGCTTACATTTTGCAAAATGGAAAAAATAAACTTGATAAGAAATCAATTTTTAAAATAAGCTTATTTTTAAATTATACTGAGGAGTCCCTTGCAGCTTACGAAAACAATTTAAACCTAGAATATTTAAAAAAGGATGAAATATTGACTTAACATTTAATCTTTAAGCGCAAAATCTGTTGTGTACCAATTTAATTTGTGTTTTAGAATATTAAACTAAAGAAGTAAAAGTCTAAAACCATTTCTTATATGTAGTTAACGCAAATAATATTTCATGTTAAAATAGCATATGCACAAATTTTACCACTTAAAGTATAATTTTCTGGTTCTATGAGATAGTTAAGCACACATATACTGAAGGAATTTAATTGCCAACGCGTCGCAATTCGTTTTTGTCATGGAATTTTAAATGATGATTTAAATGCGTTAAATGTATTCATGTTTTTTTTTAAATATGATCAAATCAGTATTTGAAAACAAAGGAGTATTTGTTATAAGTTGAAAATATTAATCAAAGTTAAAAATGAAATATTTATGGTAAAAACTTTGAAGAAAACTTCGAAAGTGACGAAAATTAAATTTCCCCTAGTTGATTGCAATACAGATCTAAATGATTTGCATTGAATATTGTACTTTTCCAGAATAGCATCATACTAATTTCGTTGAGAAGGATTTTTTTACCAGTAATTTATAACTTCCAAGTTTTTTCTACCCTTGACATTTTTAAAAAATGTGGCAATTTTTTTTAAATCATGATAAAGTGAATAAAAAGTATAGAATTTAAAGCAATATACATATTTCAAGGATAAAAGCTAATTCCTTAACTAATAATTTCTCTGTTCATACAAAACTGTGTGTTTAAAGGGACTGTGAGCGTAAATTTTAGTGACCAGCTCCATACAAAGATGGGAATGACTTGCGCATTTCTACTGCAGGAAAACATTAGGATAGATCAGAATTAAACCATTTTGAACCTAGAAAAACGACAACACCTTCCACATTATTGATTAGATAAAGGTTTCAAGGTTAATCGGACATTGTCATCTTTGCATGAAGAGTCATGTGAAATTAAGCTTCCAAGTCATTTTTCTTTAGTTTACTGTTAGGTAAGTGTAGGCCGGGGTAAAACTACAAAAGTGCAACATTTATTCTATTTAAAATCTGGCCTCAAAAAGAGAAGACCTACTATACAGTGCCAGGGAGATATATTTTACAAGAGTAATTCTTTAGATTAACATCCTTTAGTGTTATCCGTTCACCTGCAGGGGCCATTGCATCCTGTTCTGTTATAGAACAGTTCTCATTTGCAAGAACCGGTTTAGCTCCTGCTTGAACCGGTTTCTGTGGGAGAAGTTGGTTGCTAGATAGAGCCATTCTCTGCATCTTATGCACCAACACAATCGCATGCATTAGTTGCTAAATAAAACCAGGTGTAATTGCTTTCTCAACTTTACACCTTTTGCTGCACCAAAAAAAATGAGAAGACAAAAATGTTAAATAAATATTTTAGACAAAAATGTTTTTATTCATAGTTTTGAATTTGAAATTTTGATAAACGAAGGATAAAAGGACATGGAAACACCCACAATGAGCATACATTTAGATTACGAAGAAATAATTTAGGATAACCTAACTTAATAAAATAGAGGCAACTGCCAAACACTACCAAATATAGAGCTGAGTAGGCGTTTTATAGATATACAAGTCTAATTTAAGTGTTTCAAAATCTTTTGTATGCAAAAGTAAAAATGATTAAAAAATGACCCTCCATGCATGGATGGCAATGCCTGATTTACAACGGTACCCTTGAAATTTTGGTCTTATCAAAAGTATTTTGTTCTGGCTTGAAAAGTGCTTATTTCTAAAAGTTTCTTCATTACTTCTTATAAACAAGAAATTCGCGAGCCAATTTCGCAGAGAAACCGCAATTGAAAATGAACAGTTTAAAGAAACAAAAACATGGATATCTAATTCATACTTGATCAGACAAAGCTTTTATGGGTACTGCTGTAAAACAGGCATTGCCATCTTTGCACGGAGGGTCAGTTGAAATTGCGCTTATAGCCCCTTATATGACCTCTGGTTTCCATCACCTATTGTAATACATTGCGTATATAGTGTTCAATGCCACTCTATGTATACAATAACAACAATCAAATTATTAAAATTTGGAGAAATGTAAACAAAAGAGGATTTAAGAAAAATGGAGATACACCCCTGATGATAATTATTTCAAGACTTGAATTTTACGTGACTGAAGCTTATTGCAAATCATCTATTTAATTTACATTTCTCCGTTTAAAATTTAATCATGCTGTTTAAAAACTACGAAAACAACAACCGTCAAAGCTTTAAGAACACCAAAACATCAGATTTCAAACATGTCCTTTAATAAATTATTCCATCACCAAAATATTGTCTCCAATAGAAAAAAAAATATATAAAAAAGATTAAATGTTGTGCAACTAAATTGCAAATGCTCAGTGCCATATTGTTTTAAGCACTCCTACTTACCCGCCATCTGGACTTGGCGAAGTTTTTCTTCAGCTGTTCTGACACAGTTGCATGGATATTCCTCTCAGACTGAGAACCGGTTATCCATTTGTGTTGCAGGGACAGACTGAAACATAAAATGATAAAAAGGAAAGTAAATATTGAGAATATGGAAGGTTAGGCTTTATGTGGCTCAGAAAAAAATGTTTTCCTGGTTTTTGTTTCATAAAGATATAGATTGGAATTCTATTTGATTGTGCAATTTTAAACTTGGCATTAGAAGAATAATTTATTTTTATAATTTTTATTATTAAAACTTCAATTCTATATTTTTATACAACAAATGTTATTTTAGTCCCCCCCCCCCCCTTTTATATAGCCAAGAAGGGGGAGTGGGAATCTTAAAATAGAAGCTTGGCTGATTGCATGTAATCATTTGATAATTATATCAGCTATAGAGGAGAAAGTTTCAAAACTTTTTCAAGAAAGTTCTTTAACTTTATAGACGCAGTGGTTGTAGACATTAAAGAAATGTGAAGTCAAAAATTAAAGGTTAGCTTAAAGCTTGAGAATAAAAAGTTTATTTTGGAACAGAGGGCAGAGGGATGATAAATAACGAAAAGATGAAAAACAGGAAGGAAGAATTGATGACCAGATTTTGGAACCATTTTTGCATTAAACGTGAATGGAAAAATAATTAACAGCTATAAACATAAACGGAACGGTTTTTTTTAAAACGGTGAATTTCGTTAAGAAGAAGAATAAACATAGGTAAACTTTTATAGTGCCGTTAATTCTACAAATATAATCAAAACGATTTCATGAAACGTTAACGAATATAGTTAAACTGCTATTGCCGTTAATACTCTGGTAGACCGTTAACGGTCTGCGCCGTTAACGTTAATGTAAAACCTTAACTCGCGGTTATTTAAAAAAAAGACGGTCTAAATGCCGTTAACGAACGAACTTGCCGTTCTTAATTTTAAAATTAACGGCTACTTAAATTTTACTTATTTAACAGTTGGAACTAACAGTTAACGGAACGACTTGAAAAAGTTGGAACGTGCCCAGGCCTAGCCATGCAACCTTTTTTCCTGTTGTATAAAAAATCTCAAATAATTCGCAGATTTTCTAGTTCTCATTGGCGGATTTCTAAACATGTTAACAAACAGATCAGCCAAATATAAATATAAAGATGAAAAAGCACATGGTATTGATGACAATTTGATCAACAGGCGACAGCGTTACTTACTCGCATGTTAGACGTTGTTCCACATTAACACACATCAGGTTTCTGATGAAGTCCTTGGCGTCGTCACTGATGTCATCCCAGTAGGGGGAATCAAACTCAAATTCTCCTTTACAAAAAAACATTGAAATTAGATACTTAAACATTTTTTTAAATGGCACAAATGCATTGATTTAAAATTTATCTTTTTAGAGTTTTGGATATATCAGGTAATTTTTAAAGCGTAACAGAAATGCCGTGAATTGGAGGTACTCCTGAACAACGTTTTAAAAATCTAACTTATTCTAAATCTTAATCTAAAACTTAATCTAAATTATGTTCAATTAAATTTATGATCTTACAGAATATTTTTTTCAAATATCCTTGAAATTTCACCATTTGAAATCTGTATAAAGGTTTGGCTCGTTTGTGAACAGACCCATTTCACTTAGTTTGTGATTTAATAAGTGTCTATTTGCTTTGTAAAACATGAAATATACACTTTAAGTATTGCTAAAAAGTCGTCTTTATATTTCAGAGTTTTCTGGTCATCACTGTATGTTCTCAACACAGAAAACTAAAATTGGGAAATTTCATTTCCCCTGCTTGAGATATGATAACTAAACATCTTTCTTTCCTTAACATAATATCAAATATGTTTGCTTCCCTTGACAAACAAACTTACAAATATGTTCCTTAGGTTGACATAATATCTACAATAATTTCCTTTCATTGATATAACAACTAAACAATTTCCTTTCCTTGGTATAATAACTACAATAATTTACTTCCATTGACATAATAAGTACAATAATTTCCTTTCTTAAATAATAATTTTACCTTTCAGAATTTGAGCAAATAAATTTGCATCATTTTCATCATAAAACGGAGGGTATCCACACAAAAGGATATAGGAAATAACACCTAGAGAATAAAAAATTAATGCAGATTTATATTGATGATTGAAAATAAAACATCGATAATGATGATACCTATACTCCAGACATCCACAGCTTTTCCGTAGGGTTTCTGGGCCAACACCTCTGGAGCAACGTAGCCTGTCGGTCAAACCATGTTAAAACATTTCCAAGATGCACTGTTATGGAAAAAAATCTTGGACAATGTTGCAAAAGGTTAAAATTTTCAGAAACGTGCATATCATGTACGTCATCCTTTCTGATAATCAATCATTTTTGTCTTAAACACTTTATTAAACCCAACCAGTATTTGTTCAGTGCAGTGCATTGAGGAGTTAGGAATTTGAGAAGAATATTAATATGTGAAAATAGTGAAGGGTGAAGTTTTATTGGTTTTAAACTCGTTAAAACTAGTATTAAACTTCAAGTTTCCAACTTTTTCTCCAGCTTGTCATAAACCGCTTTTAAACTGGTTCCTGGTGTTCCACATGCTGTTGCCATGACACCACTGTCCTCCATCTTGGATAGACCGAAATCACTGATCATGATTTTGCTGTCAGGTTCAGGACTGTAAACAGGTAAAAATTAAATAATTTATTTATTAATTTCAAGATTGATTAGTTCTTAAAATATACAATATTTATTTTTGGTCTTGGTTTGTGTTTATGAATTTGATGTATAATCGATTAGAAATAAAAAAGGACAATTTTTGCTCCAAACTCAAATTTTCTAGTTTCTATATCTATGCAAACCGTGTTATGTAAATTTATATTGTTTAATTAAACAGAATTCACAGTTAAAATACCAAAAGTTTACGAGATTGGGTTGCAAAGATATAGGGATTAAAAATCAGAGTTTTAAAAAATTTGGCGAAAAATTTACAATGTTAACAAAATTTATTGCAACACAAATACTTGTTATAATGTATGTGTTTTCATAAAATATTTGGACTTTTTTGGTTCCTTTTAACCAAATTTTTAAAACCATTTATTTTTTATACGAAATTCATCATGTAGAATATACCTATAGTATAGAAGATTTTCTGGTTTAAGATCCCTGTGTACCACCCCCTCTTCGTGCATATAAGATACTGCAGATAAAACCTAAACAAAATATTTATTAAAATGGCTTTTGTGATAAATGAAAATATTTTTTTTTAAAACGTTCCAATGAAATCTTTCAAGTTTATAGTATTTTTTTTTGTTGAAATATCTAAACTAAAATACTCAATACATCTGCCAATTATGTACTGTACTATGTACTGTGTTCTGTGTACTGTGTATTGTCTACTACGTACTGTCTAACCTGTCGGATGAGATCAGCTGCATCCTTCTCTGTGTAAGAACCTTTCTCAACAATACGGTCAAACAGTTCTCCGCCAGTCACACTGTACATAACAACTATTAGTTTAAGCCCATTGAACACTTTTGGGTTGCATGTAATAGTAGAACAACAGTTTTACAAACTGGTTTTCCGCCCAAATTGTTTATTTTCAGTTTCTAAATCTGGCGGGAAACATGTTTGTGTCTTCATTAACTCCTATTTCTAACTATACATACATTTGAATGCTTTGGCTAAAGCATAAAGTTATTTATGTGAATGTGGACCCCAATAAAAATATTTAAAAGGGTTGAAATTATTAGAATAAAAATTTGTAAGCGATTTCTTGAAAAATTAGTACGGAAGATTTTTTTCAATTTGTATACAACATGATTTCGACATTTTTCAAATAAAAAGATTCGTAACATCGGCTTTTAGATGATGAAAAACAAAGAATTTAGTAACAAAAACTGTAATTTGTGAGCTTTCTCCAGTGCGAACCAGAAAACTGTAGTATTGGAATATGACAATAAAGCAATATTAAGTTAATTTGATATTGTTACAAATTCAAATAGTTTTACAATTAAACTTATTAATTAAAATGGCCTGTTTTCACTACACAATTGACCTGTCATGTTCATTGGACAGTAAAAAGTCATAATTTTAGCCTAAATGTCGTCTTCACATTACAGAGTTTTCTGGTTCTCACTGTAGTGTGAATTTAAAAACTATTTTATAATACAAGAGGACAAAGAATACAATTTAGAATTTATTTCAAGTTTCGTCGTGTTTTCCATTAAGAAAAGTTTGAACATGTTTCCAGTGAAAATATAAATATTTGGCCAAATTTTAAACTTTTCTCCGCTTATCGAAGAATATATCAAACCTTTATTCAAAATTGTATTCTCAAAATTTAGGTATGTACAGTACGGAGAGCAGACAGGGTACGCCAAGAACTAACGTTGTACTGCAATTCAATTCAAAGCTTGCAGTACCCTATTGCACTGTCAGCAACATTCCAAAAATGGAAAAAGAAAATAAACTAAAATGGAAATAATGTTATAAACTAAAAATTTGCGTCCCAAATTTTGTTACAGTTGGTTGCAAGTTTTGATTCACCCTGTCCAGTGTAGAATTAGATTAAATAAACTGTAATAACATGATGTTATTCCGTCAACTGTTATTACAGGTATTAAAGCTAAACAATGTTTAAATAATCAAAATAAAGCAAAGCTAGAGTGCAAACATACCTACAAAAGCAAAAGTAACTAAACGAAAACAAAAAAAAACTTAACAAAATATAAATTGTAACATAACTAAATACAACTAAACGTGACAAAATATAAATTGTAACGTAACTAAATACAACTAAACGTGACAAAAAAACATGACAAAACACATATTTTTACTCACAGCTCCATAACCAAGAACACTTTTGTCTTATCCTCAAAGACCTCCAGTAGAGCGACTATATTCGGATGTTTTAATCTAAAAAGTCAACATTTTTGTTAATTATTTTGAAGAAAACTTACAGCTGCATCACGAGATACACGTTGCTGCGGCTTTCATATGCTTCAAGCAGTTTCACAACATTCTTATGCTTCAACCTTGCAACATATAGAATCGAAATAATATAACTCATTCTGTCCGAGATTGAATTACTATCTCTCAAGTTCTATTTTTCAATCTGTTTAATAACTAAATTCTTAGTAAATGTACCGCCTATGTACAACATTAACTACGGTACATGTGATCCCATGCCTTAAGCGCTTTCTTGTCAATTATCTTGACCGCGTACATATTTCCATCGTCTTTGCTTTCAGCCAGTCGGACTTGAGAAAACGCACCACTGAAAAAAAAAATTTAAAATTTAAAATTTTCGGTTATTTTTCATGAATCAACTTTTACACCGATAGATTTTAGTTTGTAGATATAGATAGTTGAGTAAATAGTAAAATTATAGATTATAGATAGATTTTAGTATGTAGATATAGATAGTTGAGTAAATAGTAAAATTATAGATTATAGATAGATTTTAGTATGTAGATATAGATAGTTGAGTAGGTAGTAAAATTAAAGATTATAGATAGATTTGAAAGATAGAATAGACTATATAAATAGATAGCTAAATATTTTGATAGATAGAAAAAAAACCTCGGTACATAGCAAATACATAAATTCAAATGTTTGACATAAATTAATTCACAATAATGATGAATCTTTTAAACTTTATTAAATAGAGAGTCAAGTTACCTGGCTTATACAGTTTACATTTCTATGGGTCTCTCTTTACATTTACTTTTGAATTATTTTAAAAAAACAAAGCTTTCAAAAAAAAAGTTTTTAATAATTCTAAATTCTGGATTTTATAACATGTTTCAGATCTTGAATGGCTTCTGGTTGCAAGTTGTACAACTTTTCTGCAGATTTACGGAAAAGAATGTTTAAATGCATTTTGCTGACAAACCAACAATTCCTTTTTTTCTCAAATTAACTGATTTAAGTGTATAAATTGTTTAGAAAACTCGTCTTTTAACTCTTATAAAACGTTATTTCAAAAATGAAAAAGGGGGTTTAATGTACAGAATAAAATCTTAAGAACAATAAGTGTTTTTTTATCTTCAGTTTCCAAACTCCAAATTTAAAAACAGGTTTTAAAAAGATTCTAATTTTGTCATTTTAGGATATAAAATTCTGAATTTTAATCTGTTAATCTGATGAAAAACATTAATCCATGTATATCAGCTCATAATTTAATACTTTGTTTTCAAAAGAACAACCTCTAAGATTCTGGATTTTGTTGCGAATCAGCTGCTGAATGTTAATTGTTTAAACTTGTATTTATACTGATTTTGAATCTCTCCTCCATTCTTGATTACATTTCTGGATTTTTCTGGATATATCTTTATACCGATTATTGGGTAGATAATACAAATACGGAGTAAAACGAATAATTATTTATTCGAAAATAGTAATAAATATATATTTTAAACACTCCTTGACATATTTCAATATTAATCTATCAAATAAATACTTGCAGAAAAGAAAAGAATATAAGAAAAAGTTATATTCTGTGTCTAGAGATAATGTGATTAATTTTTTTATATGAACAACAAAAAATATTCTGTAATTCAGAAAATTGGTAATAAATATTTAGTGTTTCAGGAATAACTGAGTAAAATTGAATATTTAATGGAAGAGGAAAAAGTGAGTATTTTGAACCCCAGAACTCATATTATTTGAGATACAGAAGTCCCAAAAAACTCAAGAATCATAAATGTACCAAGAATTCTTAAATTATATTCAATATGACGTGTCACGTGCCTTCAAATTAAATAGAATAAGATCATAAGAAAATTACTGCAGAAAACAAGAAGCTGTTGTCCAAGGTAAATGTCTTATTGTACTTAACTAGAACTGTGATGGCATTGGTACGAAATAAACAAGAATTAAAATTTGACGAATAATAATTGTGTTATGAAATGAAATGAGTTCAAATATCTAAGTCAACTTTGAAAGTCTACGAAAAATGTCATGAACAGTAAAAAAACCGTCATTTTAAATTCCTGTAGTTAGAGAGATCCAAGTTCTAATAAATTACAGACGTGCCATAGTAACTTCATGTCTCTGTATCTATCAATATATCTATCTATCTATCTACTATACATATTTCTACTATTTATCTATCTATCTACAAATCAGTAATTTTCACCAAGATATAGGTATATAATGCATATCTATATCTTGGTATCCTAGAATCGGTATATATATATATATATATGAATCTTTTAATTTTGGTTGTTATACTTTGCATGGGAATATTAACCTTTAAAATGTTTTAGTCAAAACATAAAAGATAGATAGATAGATGATGGATAGATAAATGGATAGCAAAATAGATAAATATATGGAAAGATAGATAGATAGATACTTATACATATAGATAGATAGATAGATAGATAGAAAGATAGATAGATAGATGGATAGATAGATAGATAGATAGATAGATAGATATATAGATAGATAGATATATTAGAAAGATAGATAGATAGATAGATAGATAGATAGATAGATAGATAGATAGATATATAGATAGATAGATATATTAGAAAGATAGATAGATAGATAGATAGATAGATAGATAGATAGATAGATAGATAGATAGATAGATAGATAGATAGATAGATAGATAGATAATAGGTATACAGATAGATAGATAGATAGATAGGATTTAAGAGTAAATTTCCTAGGATTAAATGCTTTCCATCAGCAGAAGAATTTGTTTAAACAGAATTTGATAAAGTTAGGAAAAGAGAGAGGATAGAGGAGGGTCGAAGGATTAAGAAGATAAAAGAAGGATGATGTAGTATTAAGAAGATGAGATAAGGATGTTGAAGGATTAAGAAGATGAGAGAAGGATGATGTAGAATTAAGAAGATGAGAGAAGGATGATGAAGGAATAAGAAGATGAGAAAATTATGATGAAGGATTAAGAAGATGAGAGAAGGATGATGAAGGAATAAGAAGATGAGAGAAGTATGACGTAGGATTAAGAAGATGAGAGAAGGATGATGTAGAATTAAGAAGATGAGAAAATCATGATGAAGGATTAAGAAGATGAGAGAAGGATGGTGTAGTATTAAGAAGATGATAGAAGGATGATGAAGGATTAAGAAGATGGTGGAAGGATGGTTTAGGATTAAGAAGATGAGAGAAGGATGATGAAGGATTAAGAAGATGAGAGAAGGAAGATGAAGGAATAAGAAGATGAGAGAAGGATGATGAAGGAATAAGAAGATGAGAGAAGGATGATGAAGGATTAAGAAGATGATAGAAGGATAATGTAGGTTTAAGAAGATGAGAGAAGGTTGATGAAGGAATAAGAAGATGGTGGAAGGATGGTGTAGGATTAAGAAGATGAGAGAAGGATGATGTAGGATTAAGAAGATGAGAGAAGTATGATGTAGGATTAAGAAGATGAGAGAAGGATGATATAGGGTTAAGAAGATGAGAGAAGGATGATGTAGGGTTAAGAAGATGAGAGAAGTATGATGTAGGGTTAAGAAGATGAGAGAAGGATGATGAAGGATTAAGAAGATGAGAGAAGGATGGTGCAGGGTTAAGAAGATGAGAGAAGGATGATGTAGGATTAAGAAGATGAGATAAGGATGATGTAGGATTAAGAAGATGAGAGAAAGATGATGTAGGATTAAGAAGATGAGAGAAGGATGATGTAGGATTAAGAAGATGAGAGAAGGATGATGTAGGATTAAGAAGATAAGGAATACATATATGAAGACAATATAAAAAGAGAACTAATATCTAATATCTAATATCTAATATCTAATATCTAATATCTAATATCTAATATCTAATATCTAATATCTAATATCTAGATAAAAAAAGAGAATTCTACTCACGTTCCAAGGATATCCTTTAGATCATATTTGTCTTCAACACTCGGCACCTTCTTATCCTTCTTCTCCTCCTTCTTCTCCTCCTTCCCCTTGCTGCTCTTCCCAAACAACGGCATGGTGCACGTAAAATACGCGCGGTTCACTGTTTACTTGATCTGTAACTGTTATCTCGTCACAACCCTATGCGCTCTTGTCTAAGCTTTGTGCTTAACTGTTCCGTGCACCAGAGGCGTTGCCGCGCGTTTAGCCTTGAAAGGTTTACGTTCACCGTATAAGCGCGCTTGATGTCAGGCGCCGGACGATCTACTGACTGTAGGATAGTTTACTCTCTAGAAGAGTTTACAAAAACCAGTTTTTGATGAAGCGTGTGCTGAGAGACGTTGTGAGCACATCTTAACCCTCTCCTGTATACACTGGAATATAGAGATATATCATATATATATATGGAGATATAACGGTTAAAAAATCTATTCAGGGAGATTCGTAAGACTATGGATTAGTAAGATGGCATTTGATTAATTGTGTCACTGTGTGCGTATTTGATATTTAATAAAACAAATAGTGTTAACAGTAGCTGGAAAATTAACTTAATTAGTGAAATAGGTCTGGGTACGCTGCACAATTTCTGCATTGGTATATTTTGACAGTTTCATGTTGTTGCACTGTTATCATATTTAAATGGTTACCCATAACGGATGAAAGACCTTTTCCTTATTGAAGTCGGGTTTTTTTTCGTTACTTAATATGTGCGGCTGCGTCAAACCAAGGTTTTAGTAGCAAAAATTCGTCTTTAAATGTCTTATATTTTACCACGTAAAAATGCAGATAAATCAAATAACATACAAAATCATAAATAAATAAAAACTGTTCTATCATAAAGTTAAACTTTCAATTTTTACACTCTGATTAACTCTAAAAGATGGATTTGAATAAAAAATGCGAATTATCTACCAAGAGCGTAGACTAAAAACTGTTAAAAGAAGTTAAAAGAAAGTTTTCAACGAGTAAAGAAAGTTACGGAGTTATATAATGCCATAAAGTTTTGAGAGCTGAATAATTAAGAATTATAAGGTTTGAGTTAAAAAATTGTATTTCAATATTATATTAAAAAAAATATACTGGGAGTGAGTAAAAAACCCGGAATTAGTAACAATAAAAACAATTTTTTCGGAAGGTAAATGTTTTAGGCTTAAAAAAATGAAAATGTAATTAACAAAATGCAAAAATATTTTTATATTTACTAATGTAATATGTATGAAACTTTGGAATATAATATATAATCGATTTCTAAAGAAAAAATGATTTTTCACAGATAACTGTTCGCAGATTTTTTGTTCTAAGTACCTATCCACTTAAAACATCAACCCTGCAAACATTTTTACAGTGTTCTGTAAAACACCGCTAATCCTGCAGTTGTTTACCCACCCTATATATAATACATTATACATACATACACAGTATTTTTCTATACATCAATCAATGGAACGAAGCATTAAATCAAAACTATGATAAAAAGAGTTCAAACTTTTAATAAAAACAAAAAAAAAATTTAAAGTATCAAATAAAAATTCATTAGAAATAAATTAGGATTGAACTTTGATGGTTTCTTTCCTTTCACTAATCTTCTAAAAGGACTAAAAAAGAAAGAAGAAAAGTTTAAATCTATTTATTTAAAGGATTGAATTGGATTCAGCCACTAAAACTTAAAGCCTTCAAATTTTTGTCTTATTAACTAAAACGCAAAAATAAGAATTAAGAATGATAGAAAAAAATGTATCTAGTTTCTTTAGTTGTAAACTGGAATTCAATGAAAAGAAAAATTTATGCCATTTAAATTGCATAGTCTAAACTTCTGAAGGTTAATTGATGACGCAATATTCAAAGAGCACAAGGAGAAATTAATGAAAAGGAATCAAAGTGTGGACGCATATTGATGACGCAAATAAGTGTGACATACATACGGTACCAGTACAAACGTCAGACCCACAAACAAAGAGAATAGAATATATATTAGAGGGGAATTTACTAGAAAAAAGTGTAAAACGGCAATTTTGTTGTACTGTTTCCATACTGCAGGTGTACTTCACATATTTATGCTATATAACCTTTTGGGCCCTGGNCCCTCTTGAATTATCTGGAATGGTAAATATCCCGCCATATCTTGCCAAATGGTTGACTAGATTTAATCTCCTAATGACGCGAAATGAATAAATCATCTATGTATTTTTTATTTCTGAACTCATGTCAGAACCATTTACTTAGATAATGAAGCTTGGATGAAATGCTATATTTTATAAATTGACAGGAAATCCAGAACGGTGTTTTCTGATTTCCAGAATTCAGAACGCAGTATATGCTGGTTTCCAGAATTCAGAACCCTGAATGCTGGTTTCCAGAATTTAGAACCCTAAATGCAGGTGTCCAGATTCAAAACCCTGAATGCAGGTTCCAGAATTCAGAACGCTGCATGCTGGTTTTCAGAATTCAGAACGCTATATGTGGGGTTCCAGAATTCAGAACGCTGAATGATGGTTTCAATAATTTGGAACCCTGAATTCATGTTTTCAGAATTCAGAACGCTGTATATGCTGGTTGCCAGAATTCAGAACCCTGAATTCAGGTTTTCAGAATTCAGAACGCTGTATATGCTGGTTTCCAGAATTCAGAACCCTGAATTCAGGTTTTCAAAATTCAGAACGCTGTATGCAGGTCTTCATAATTCAGAACCCTGAATGCAGGTTTCCAAAATTTAAAACGCTGTATGCTGGTTTCTAGAATTCAGAACGCTGTATGCTGATCTCCAGAATCCAGAACGATGTATGTAGGTTTACAGAATTCAGAACGATGTATGCTGGTTTCCAGAATTCAGAACGATCTATTCTGGTTTCCGGATTTAAGAACGCTGTATGCTGGTTTCCAGAATTCAGAACGATGTATGCTGGTTTCCAGAATTCAGAACGATCTATGCTGGCTTCCAGAATTCAGAACGATCTATGCTGGTTTCCAGAAATTCATTCAAACGTGTATATCCGTATAGAGCTATACATATGCGGTGCAGATTGAATATCATGTAGACGTATAGTTTCAAGTTACTTTCCATTATAATGGAATGTAGACGTATAGTTTCAAGTTACTTTCCATTTATAATGGAATGTAGACGTATGGTTTCAAGTTACTTTCCATTATAATGTAATGTATACGTATAGTTTCAAGTTACTTTCCATTTATAATGGAATGTAGACGTATAGTTTCAAGTTACTTTCCATTATAATGGAATGTTGACGTATAGTTTCAAGTTACTTTCCATTTTTAACAAAATGTAGTCGTATAGTTTCAAGTTACTTTCCAATATAATGGAATGTATACGTATAGTTTCAAGTTACTTTCCATTTATAATGGAATTTAAAAACGTATAGTTTCAAGTTACTTTCCATTTTTAATAAAATGTAGTCTTATAGTTTCAAGTTACTTTTCGTTTTACTTTTCAGAATTAAACATTATTCAACCCAAAAAACTGACACATCTTTCTACACTATTGATCAGATAAAGGTTTAAACGGTACTGTTGTGAATTTAACATGCCCTTCTAGATCTGGAGGGTTACTTGAGGATCACAAAAATCGAAACAAATTCAGAATAAAAAAATACATAAGCAAATTAGAGAATATAGAATATAGAATATAGAATATAGAATATACATATCAAAGTACAGAACTTAGCGCATAGCATACATTACTCGGAACATGGAATACAGTACACATAATAAAGAATTCAGAATAATTTGCAAAAATATACCTTTTCTGTGAGCTCTAATAACATTCTTTGTTCACATAAGTTCATATATTTCCTCTGAAAACAATTATAATTAAAGTTTTTGAAAAGCTAGTTTTCAAACTTTGGTTGGTAGACTTTGACGTTTAGTTTGGTTTTGGCAGATGTTGATAGATTGTACGTGCAGGTTTACTCAAACTATCTCTGAATTGGAGGACATTTGGAGGCCGTACTGCGGTTGGTTGGGGNAGGGAGGTACAATACATAGATACTTAACAGTCAGGGAGGTACAATACATAGATACTTAACAGTTAGGGAGGTACAATACATAGATACTTATCAGTCAGGAGGTACAATACATAGATACTTAACAGTCAGGAAGGTACAATACGTGGATACTCAACAGTCAGGGAGGTACAATAAATAGATACTTATCAGTCAGGAAGGTAAAAAATAAAATTTACTATGTTTTTCCTGCATAATGTTTTTTTAATATTTGATATTTCATATCCGTCTCCTGGTGATCATTTCCTGAAAAAATTATATTTGATACTATAATATTCTATATTATTAGTTTTACTTATTTTATTTATATTTTATGTTCATTTCTACATCTTCTCTTTCTCTCTATCTAACTGGGGAAACGGTTCATGAAGTATAGTACAGTATACGTACAGACTTACAGGCAGCTACAGCAAGTAGTAAAGTATACGTACAGACTTACAGACAGCTAGAGCAAGTAGTAAAGTATACGTACAGACTTACAGGCAGCTAGANAGTTTCTTTAGATAGTAGTTTCTTTAGATAGTAGTTTCTTTAAATAGCAGTTTCTTTAGATAGTAGTTTCTTTAGATAGTAGTTTCTTTAAATAGCAGTTTCTTTAGATAGTAGTTTCTTTAGATAGTAGTTTCTTTAAATAGCAGTTTCTTTAGATAGTAGTTTCTTTAGATAGTAGTTTCTTTAAATAGCAGTTTCTTTAGATAGTAGTTTCTTTAGATAGTAGTTTCTTTAAATAGCAGTTTCTTTAGATAGTAGTTTCTTTAGATAGTAGTTTCTTTAAATAGCAGTTTCTTTAGATAGTAGTTTCTTTAGATAGTAGTTTCTTTAAATAGCAGTTTCTTTAGATAGTAGTTTCTTTAGATAGTAGTTTCTTTAAATAGCAGTTTCTTTAGATAGTAGTTTCTTTAGATAGTAGTTTCTTTAAATAGCAGTTTCTTTAGATAGTAGTTTCTTTAGATAGTAGTTTCTTTAAATAGCAGTTTCTTTAGATAGTAGTTTCTTTAGATAGTAGTTTCTTTAAATAGCAGTTTCTTTAGATAGTAGTTTCTTTAGATAGTAGTTTCTTTAAATAGCAGTTTCTTTAGATAGTAGTTTCTTTAGATAGTAGTTTCTTTAAATAGCAGTTTCTTTAGATAGTAGTTTCTTTAGATAGTAGTTTCTTTAAATAGCAGTTTCTTTAGATAGTAGTTTCTTTAGATAGTAGTTTCTTTAAATAGCAGTTTCTTTAGATAGTAGTTTCTTTAGATAGTAGTTTCTTTAAATAGCAGTTTCTTTAGATAGTAGTTTCTTTAGATAGTAGTTTCTTTAAATAGCAGTTTCTTTAGATAGTAGTTTCTTTAGATAGTAGTTTCTTTAGATAGTAGTTTCTTTAGGTAGTAGTTTCTTGTTATATTTCTAGCTGCAAGTAAGAATATCATGTAACACTAAATAGGATTATAATGAAATGTGATATCTATCTAACTATCTATCTGTCAATATATCTGTATTTCAATCAATTCTTCCTTCAATCTATCTGCCTATCAATCCATCTGTCTATTAAATTTATATGTCTATCAATCTGTCTGTCTATTAATCTATATGTCTATTAATCTGATCTTTCTATTTATCTAAATCTATCCATTAGTCCTTTTCCTTTCAGTGAAAGCATACAAAAATTGATATTGTTAGCAATATAAATGTCATTTTGGGTGCTTTGGATGCGTTGGATTCAAATGATTGACAATTTATATATCTATATCGACATATCTATCTATCTATCTATCTATCTATCACTGCCTGTTTATACCATCTAGTTCTACTACGCCCTTCATACCTGACTATCTATCTATCTATTGATCTATTCTATCTGTCTATCTATCTCCAGCTACCTGTAAAGCAAGGTAGTACTGGCCTATACCCTGTATACCTGTGTCAACCACACTGAACCAAACCGTCGCAAAAACAAAACAGTTTTGGATATTTTAAAAATTCGATTCTTTAGATTGTGTACATAAACATTACATGCTGTGACCCTAAAGAATTGTCTTACGTGACACATTACATATACAACACATTTACGTTTATACATTTACATATTTATATGAAATATAATATATTTTTGAACTTTTAAACCAAATATATCACATTTACCTTTCAATGTAAATTTTTTAGATAAATATAGAGTATAATATCGGAGAAATGATCTTTTATATAAAAAACAAAACACAAAATATTATTATTTGACATAGTAACATAGTTCTCATTTACTTTAATGATTTTAATGAAAAAAAATGAGGAAAAAAAGTTGAAAAGTTGATTTCATTTTAAATTATTTAAACTATTTCATTATTTATATTTTGAGGTGTAGTTGATTTTTAAAAAACTAATCTTTAAAACTAATCTTTAATATCTGTACTATCTCAGTATTAGAAATGCATTTTTAATCGTTATATTATGCCTTTGAGAGTTATCTTAAGAACCGAATATTTAAAGAATTTTAAACTTTTCTTTAAATAATTTTTGGTGTTTTTATTTCTCTTTCTTCCTTAACCCTATCAGCTGTTTGTTCTGGTCTAGTAATGGTTTGAGGGAGGGGGGATTTTATTTTTCCCTTTTGTAAAATGCCGTTAGAGTTGATATTGTGTTCACTAAAGGCTCACGGTGGAGGAGAGGAGGGTGGGGAAAAATTTAAATGAAATTTTAAACCCATGGAATTTTTAAATGGCATATTCTTCATATGTAAATGAAACCCTGACATGTCCGGGGGTGGGAGATGGAAAATGTGATAAAAGCGTTTGCATACATTAAAAAAAATATAAGTACTAGAAGTTGACCCCTTTCTCTAGTTGCACCCCAAGTTCTTCAGTCACCTCATTTTTTTGGGATAGGAGAGATGAAGGACGTCGGAAAAAATGAAGAAAAAAAATGTATTTATAAGTTTTCGTCATTTTTTCACACTTTTCACAGTTAAAATAACGATACCCTTTCCCTGTTTCTAATGTTACGAGACTGGCTGAATCTTCAATCTGTAATCTTTGTATGATTATTATGTCTAAACTACTCACCTTATCTTTATGTTTACCTTCATGAAAAAGCATCAAGTTTATAGTTTACAGTTTACATAGTCAAAAATGCTTTCAAAATTGGAACGCTGTGCGTAAATTTTTTTTTTTTTCAAGAAAAGCTTTTTAGTTTTTTGGAGGGAGAGAAGAATAATGCCAATAATAATATTTATAAGAATTTTTCTTTCGAAATACAATTTTTACCTATCCTGATCCATCACAAAAAAGGAGTTGTGCTTAAAAAATGCGCGATTTCAAGCTTAATAAATTTTTTTTTAAATATTGTGGAGAATTGAAAAATATTTATTTATTTAGAAATATTCTAGTTTTTTCTTCAGATTTCAAGATGGGGGGGAGTACTTACTCCCAGGATACGATAGCAACAGAGAAACAGGCAGCTCAGAGGTAATTAGGGGATCAAACATTCAACTAATTTATCAATTAAATGATCAAATAATTGGCCAATTAATTAATCAATTCATCAATTAAATAATCAGTCAACAAAAGGAGTCAGATATCAATCATTCGCGGATTTCAAAAAATAAATTAATTATGCAACAAATTAATCAATTATTTGTGCAATTCTATAATCAATTAATTATGCAACTAAATAATCAATCAATTATGCAACAAAATAATTAATTAATTACACAATTCTATAATCAATTAATTATGCAACAGAATAACCAATTAATTACGCAATTCTATAATCATTCAATTTCTTAACTCAACTGAAAAACCATTAAATTGGTGTAAGGCCAAAGCCTAGAAACTTTAGGAGTTACACTTGACCAATAATATTTCTATCTGAAGTCTCTTGTTCTCGAGAAATCGATATAAAACGGTGTCCGAGTTATTTTTTACGAAACTTCTAAATTATACGTGGCATGGTATTTGAATCAAAGTTTGAATAGATCATATTCAGCAAATATGGAACTAATCTAAAACTACGTTCACCCAGAGGTGTATAGAAATTTTAGATACGCTCCTAGTTTGAAGTTTTCATTTTTAGGTTTCTTTATACTTTATACTTTTGATGACGATTTTTTGGCCGCCAGGTGTCTCTGCTCTCGATATTTCTTGGATGGGAAGTTGACAATTGTTTAAATTCCCTGATTTTTTATTTTCAGGACTTCCCCAATCTTGTTCAATGCATGTGTGGCGGGATTCACAGGTAATTGATTATCATTATTTATTATCATTATTATTATCATTATTATTATTATTATTATTATTATTATTAATATTAATATTGATTATAACTATAACTAAGGTTTTATTATAATGATCATCATATTAATATCAACTTTACTTTTCCATGATTTTATTATAAATAGGAGGTGTATTACTCCTAATGTCCTTCTGTTCCCCGTATTGGCTTCAATCTTGGAGTGATACCGCCTCTCCTTTCACCAATATGGGACTATGGGAGGTCTGCTTCTACAGATTCAGGTATCTATCTATAGCGCCCCTTTTCCCCTGTTTCCCAGCCAGGTACCTAACCCCCCTTTTTTCAGGTATCAACCTCCCCCCTTTCTGTTTTTCCCAAATTAATTTATTCAGAGGTTAAAAGCTCTCAACAAAATTGTATGAGAATTTTGCCAATTACATACATGTCTATGGCAACAGTAAAGTATAAGTAAATTCTGAGGCCTAAGCAAAGGCCAAGGAGTTGCGACACTTTAAAGACGACCCAGTCTGAGCAGTCTCTGGATCTAATTAAGGTATCTAAATCTACCCCCCATCTTTTTAAATATA